CGTATCTGTGGCAAAGTCAACAATCAAGAGAAGACTTCACCAGAGTAAATACAGAGGGTTTACCACAGGATGTAAACCATTGGTAAGCCTCAAAAACAGGAAGACCAGATTCTACCAAAAAACATATAAAAAAGCCTGTACAGTTCTGGAACAACATCCTATGGACAGATGAGACAAAGATCAACTTGTACCAGAATGATGGGAAGAGAAGAGTATGGAGAAGGGAAGGAACTGCTCATGATCCGAAGCATACCACCTCATCTGTGAAGCATGGTGGAGGCAGTGTAATGGCATGGGCATGTATGGCTGCCAATGTAATGGGTTCCCTTGTATTTATTGATGATGTGACTGCTGACAAAAGCAGCAGGATAAATTCTGTATTATCTGCTCAGATTCAGCCAAATGCTTCAAAACTCATTTGGACGGCGCTTCACAGTGCAGATGGACAATGACCCGAAGCATACTGTGAAAGCAACCCAATACTTTTTTAAGGCAAAGAAGTGGAATGTTCTGCAATGGCCAAGTCACTTGCTGAAGGCAAAACTGAAGGCAAAACACCCCAAGAACAAGCAGGAATTGAAGACAGCTGCTGTAAAGGCCTGGCAGAGCATCACCATCTGGTGATGTCTAGGGGTTCCAGACTTCAGGCAGTCATTGACTGCAAAGGATTTGCAACCAAGTATTAAAACTCACAATTTAATTTATGATTGTTAGTTTGTCCAATTACTTTCGAGCCCCTAAAATTGGGGGGTTATGTATAAAAATGGTTGTAATTCCTACACGGTTCATACAATAATTTTGACAAAACCCTTAAATTAAAGATGAAAGTCTACACTTAAAGCCATCTTGATTGTTTCCTTTCAAATCCATTGTGGTGGTGTACAGAGCCAAAATAATGCAAATTGTGTCACTGTCCAAATACTTATGGACCTGACTGTAGAGTTTCTGCAAATTAACGGCATGCCACTGTGTCCCTGTTAGAAAAATGAGTCAGATTACAACCTACACATCATGATATTGAAAACAATGTTGTTTTTCCTAACTTACCTCTCTTTGAATGACGAGATCCTGCAGACCCACAATAGTCTGGTTAAAGTCCTTGAATTGACCTATTGAATTGACTTATTGACCAAGTGAATTGACCTATTCCATGAATTGAATGCTATAAACAAATGTAGGCTATAACATTTTGAAATAATTCCTTGTACTTTTTCAATAAGGGACATACACATATAAGAAACGTGCAATGTAATATTTGTCCTATGTGGGTTTCAAAACAGATAATACAGGAGAATCACATCAAGACCATTGCTGTGATACAGCCTTACCTTGTTGGCAAGATGCCATTATCCTATTTCATCCGATGCACTCTAACTCTGCCATAGTCTTGGCCATTTCATCAAATGTTACTTCCTTTTTCATGACAAGAGGCAGGTGCACACACTAGGGCAGAAGTAGCAATAATGTTATTGCCTGACAACACACAGAGACAATCCATGTTGCTGTCCATTATACACCACTGAGGTAGATTAAGAATGTTATACCTAAGTGTTCTACACCGAACAAAAATATAAATGCAACACGCAACAATTTCAACGATTTTACTGAGTTACAGTTCATATGAGGAAATCAGTCAATTGAAATAAATTCATTAGGCCCTAATCTATGGATTTCACATGACTGTTGGTCACAGATACCTTCAAAAAAGGTAGGGGCATGGATCAGAAAACCACTCAGTATCTGGTGTGACCACCATTTGCCTCATGCAGCACGACACATCTCCTTCAAAGATTTGATCAGGCTGTGGATTGTGGCCTGTAGAATGTTGTCCCACTCCTCTTCAATGGCTGTGCAAAGTTGCCGGATATTAGTGGGAACTGGATCACGCTGTCGTACACGTCGATCCAGAGCATCCCAAACATGCTCAATGGGTGACATGTCTGGTGAGTATGCAGGCCATGGAAGAACTGGGACATTTTCAGCTTCCAGGAATTGTGTACAGATCCTTGCGACATGGGGCCGTGCATTATCATGCTGAAGCATGAGGTGATGGTGGCGGATGAATGGCACGACAATGGGCCTCAGGACCTCGTCACGGTGTCTCTATGCATTCAAATTGCCATTAATAAAATGCAATTGTGTTCGATACCATAACCCGACCGCCACCATGGGGCACTCTGTTCACAACGTTGACATCAGCAAACCACTGACCAGTCAGGTCAAGACCCTGGTGAGAATGACGAGCACGCAGATGAGCTTCCCTGAGACGGTTTCTGACAGTTTGTGCAATCCCGCAGTTTCATCAGCTGTCTGGGTTGCTGGTTTCAGACGATCCCGCAGGTGAAGAAACCAGATGTGGAGGTCCTGGGCTGGCGTTATTACACGTGGTCTGCGGTTGTGAGGCCGGTTGGATGTACTGTCAAATTCTCTAAAACGACATTGGTAGAGAAATGATCATTCAATTATCTGGCAACAGCTCTGGTGGACATTCCGGCAGTCAGCATGCCAAGTGCACGCTCCCTCAAAACTTGCGACATCTGTGGCATTGTGTTGTGTGACAAAACTGCACATTTTAGAGTGGCCTTTTATTGTCCCAAGCACAAGGTACACCTGTGTAATGATCATGATGTTTAATCAGCTTCTTGATATGCCACACCTGTCAGGTGGATGGATTATCTTGGCAAAGGAGAAATGCTCACTAACAGGGATGTAAACCAAATTCTGCACAACATTTTTGAAAAATAAGCTTTTTGTGCATATGGAACATTTCTGGGATCTTTTATTTCAGCTCATGAAACATGGGACCAACACTTTACATGTTGCATTTATATTTTTGTTCAGTGTAGATATCGACGCGAAGGTGAAATTGTTGTTCTTCTTCTTTAAGGTGTTATTGGTGGACTACATCCAAAAATGTGTATTGCAGCCACAAAAGGTAAAATTGTTTGTGCGCATGCGTGGAAATATACTGCTCGCCCTGGTCCGAACGATAGCTTTTGGTCGCAAAACGATACCCGTAGTTAGCGAAAGTCTTCTGTCTGCAAGCATGTTGGCTGTGAATTTACCCGCAGTCATTGTTTTGCAAAATTACTCTTGAAGATTTAAGTGACACCTTTTTTTGGGATAGGATAGCAAAAATGCCCCGTTATGCTCAAATGGTGATGGGCCCGGCAGGAAGTGGAAAGGTAGCGACTAGATTATAGTTAGCTAATTAACGTTATCTATCCACACAGCCTGTGGTGCTTAAATGCTACCATTAGTTTCAGTGGGTAGTTATTTAATTAGCTAGCTTAATAGCTATGTCTTTGCTGGTTGTTCCATGCCAATTCCAAAATGTAGCTAAATGAGCAGGGCTAGGCTATGTTTTACAATTAATGCCAATTCACATATTATTAACATAGCTAGCTATAGCACTTGCTAGCTTGTTAGTGGGCTAGCTAACAGAGTTGCAACCAATGATTTATATATAGACTACTGGTTGCAACTTCAAGGTCTAAACTACACTGCTCCAAAAAATAAAGGGAACACTAAAATAACACATCCTAGATCTGAATTAATGAAATAATCTTATTAAATACTTTTTTCTTTACATAGTTGAATGTGCTGACAACAAAATCACACAAAAATTATCAATGGAAATCAAATGTATCAACCCATGGAGGTCTGGATTTGGAGTCACCCTCAAAATTAAAGTGGAAAACCACACTACAGGCTGATCCAACTTAATGTCCTTAAAACAAGTCAAAATGAGGCTCAGTAGTGTGTGTGGCCTCCACGTGCCTGTATGACCTCCCTACAACGCCTGGGCATGCTCCTGATGAGGTGGAGGATGGTCTCCTGAGGGATCTCCTCCCAGACCTGGACTAAAGCATCCGCCAACTCCTGGACAGTCTGTGGTGCAACGTGGCGTTGGTGGATGGAGGGAGACATGATGTCCCAGATGTGCTCAATTGGATTCAGGTCTGGGGAACGGGTGGGCCAGTCCATAGCATCAATGCCTTCCTCTTGCAGGAACTGCTGACACACTCCAGCCACATGAGGTCTAGCATTGTCTTGCATTAGGAGGAACCCAGGGCCAACCGCACCAGCATATGGTCTCACGAGGGGTCTGAGGATCTCATCTCGGTACCTAATGGCAGTCAGGCTACCTCTGGCGAGCACATGGAGGGCTGTGTGGCCCCCCAAAGAAATGCAACCCCACACCATGACTGACCCACCGCCAAACCGGTCATGCTGGAGGATGTTGCAGGCAGCAGAACATTCTCCATGGCGTCTCCAGTTTCTGACCGTTTGAGCAGACACATGCACATTTGTGGCCTGCTGGAGGTCATTTTGCAGGGCTCTGGCAGTGCTCCTCCTTGCACAAAGGCGGAGGTAGCAGTCCTGCTGCTGGGTTGTTGCACTCCTACGGCCTCCTCCACGTCTCCTGATGTACTGGCCTGTCTCCTGGTAGCGCCTCCATGCTCTGGACACTACGCTGACAGACACAGCAAACCTTCTTGCCACAGCTCGCATTGATGTGCCATCCTGGATGAGCTGCACTACCTGAGCCACTTGTGTGGGTTGTAGACTCCGTCTCATGCTACCACTAGAGTGAAAGCACCGCCAGCATTCAAAAGTGACCAAAACATCCGCCAGGAAGCATAGGAACTGAGAATTGGTCTGTGGTCACCACTTGCAAAACCAGTCCTTTATTGGGGGTGTCTTGCTAATTGGCTATAATTTCCACCTGTTGTCTATTCCATTTGCACAACAGCATGTGAAATTTATTGTCAATCAGTGTTGCTTCCTAAGTGGACAGTTTGATTTCACAGAAGTGTGATTGACTTGGAGTTACATTGTGTTGTTTAAGTGTTCCCTTTATTTTTTTGAGCAGTGTACAACAGGCACTGCCATTGAACATGACTTGTCAGTTTCAGAAATGCAGTTCTAGCACTTTTATAATGTGGTAGTACTGTAGCTGTTACTTGATTTATCCTATTCAATGTTCTCATATCATCATGTATGTTTTTGCCACTGATATTAAAGTCAGCGGTGGTTTATATATATCTCCCGCCTCTCCTCAGAGTACCTACTGCTCTACCCTGATCCATCATGCGGAAGCCATAAACCGCTCTGTACAGGTGGTCAACCTAGACCCAGCCGCTGAATACTTTGATTACCCGGTCATGGCAGGTAATTAAACACATCTCTTAGGAGTTCTGATACTGTGATAGTCCTGTTTCTCTAACATTGAGTAGCACTGATGGCTGTTTTCCTACCCTCAGATATCCGGGAGCTCATCATGGTGGATGACGTGATGGAGGATGAGTCACTGAGGTTCGGCCCAAATGGAGGGCTGGTGTTCTGCATGGAGTACTTTGCCAACAACTTTGACTGGCTGGAGGAGAGCCTGGGTCAAGTGTAGGACGACTACATACTGTTTGACTGTCCTGGTAAGGTGCTTTTCATAGAGGGGGGCAAGGAACGTGACCTGGATGATGATGATGATGATGGAGGTTAAGTGAACATGGTGAATAATATGGATCTGATTTGATGTTGACCATGATGATGATAGTGATGGTGGTTGAGAAGTTTGTGATGTGGTGAGAATGGTATTGACGACGATGATGACGGTGTTAGTGATGTCTTCAGGTCAAATAGAGCTCTACACACACCTCCCTGTGATGAGGCAGCTGGTAGAGCAGCTCCAGCAGTGGGAATTCCCTGTCTGTGGCGTCTTCCTGGTGGACTCACAGTTCATGGTGGAGACCTTCAAGGTCATATGTCCACTGCTAACACATCTCACACGCTGCCTTTCATACAGTCTTTATAATATGCTATAACAGTTATATTTTAAGTTAATTGCAAAACAATTGTCTCAAAAACCGAGTTCATCTCTGGTATCATGGCTGCGTTGGGTGCCATGGTGTCCTTGGAGATCCCAACAGTCAACATCATGGACCTGTCAGAATAGTAGCATTCTTCCTTTTTATGTGTGTATCTGTTGCTGTGGTCTTTGTCCATCTGGTTTTGTGTCTGTGTGTGTGTTTGGTTCTGAATGAATCCTGTGCACAAGCTTAGCGGATCTGTATTGGCTAGCACTGACAGATCCCGCTCTCTCCATACAGGTACCTGGACCCTGACATGTACTCAATGATGGAGGACAACTCTGTCACCATTAGGAGCAAGAAGTTCAAGAAGCTGACCAAAGCCATCTGTGGTTTGGTAAGTTCATGCCGTACCAGGGCTGTCAGAGTTAATCAGTTAACTCTAGGTAACTTTTTGTAATTTTAGTGCACACATTTATTTTTAATTGTTGTTAATCGCATTGTCTGAAAGCTTTCAAAATACACTGAAAACATCCTAAATACATCATCTACACAGTACAATGCAATGTAAAAACAAGTTGACATTGGCGTTAAAGAAAGTATGCTTTCTCAATTTACCTAATTTTGCTAATTGTTCCTTTAGACAAAATCAAGAACTGCAGTGGTCTGAGCAGCCCGCTTCGGCTCCGAGCATCACAAGTTCGCGCCCAGTGCTGGGTAATTGTTATAGGGCTCCCGAGTGGCGCAGCGGTCTAAGGCACTGCATCTCAGTGCTAGAGGCGCCACTACAGACCCTGGTTCGATTCCAGGCTGTATCACAATCCGGCCGTGATTGGGAGTCCCATAGGGCGGCGCACAATTGGCCCAGCGTTGTCCGGGTTTGGCTGGGGTAAGCCGTCATTGTAAATACAATTTTTTTCTTAACTGACCTGCCTAGTTAAATAAAATTTTAAAGACGTCAAGGTTCTTGTAATGTTTTTTGTGTGAGAAATCTTAAATTACAGCTTAATTTGAGCAAATTCAGAATTTACGAATAATAATAATAATGTAGTGGGTAATCTGTCCAATTTCACACATGTACAATCATGCTATTAACTCGATTCAATGTTATTATCGTTTGACAGCCCTATGCCATACACAACCGTGCATAGAGAGAAGGCAGCACTGGTGTCCATAAATAAGTCATGACCCCTAGTTTGTGTTTTCTAGATGGATGACTACAGCATGGTGAGGTTCCTGCCTTTTGATTGCACAGACGAGGAATGCATCAACATAGTGCTTCAGCACATCAACTTTTCCATACAGTACGGAGAAGACTTGGAGTTCAAAGAACCAAAGTTAAATACAAAAAAAATCCACTACTTTGTAGACTGAAATGTATGTTTAGTCCTAGAGGTTAGCAGAGCAGACTAACCCTAATCCTGCTCTGGGAAATAATGTACTGTTACTAGGTATACTAAGTCGACTCTCCAACTAACCAAAACCTTTCACTCACTTTCCCTTTTTCTCTCTCCTAAGGAGCCTGACAACACAAATTATGATGATTTATTCCAGGACAAAGTAGAGGACTGAGACAATATACATTACAAAAAATTAAGTGCACCTACTCTTTCCATGACATAGACTAACCAGGTGAAAGCTATGATCCCTTATTGATGTCACTTCAATCAGTGTAGATGAAAGGGAGGAGACAGGTTAAAGAAGGATTTTTAAGCCTTGAGATAATTGAGACATGGATTGTGTATGTGTGCCATTCAGAGGGTGATTGGGCAAGACAACATTTAAGTGCCTTTGAACGGGGTATGGTAGTAGGTGCCAGGCGCACCGGTTTGTGTCAAGAACTGAAACGCTGCTGGGTTTTTCACACTTAACAGTTTCCCATGTGTATCAATAATGGTTCACCACCCGAAGGACATCCAGCCAACTTTACACAACTGTGGGAAGCATTGGAGTCAACATGGGCCAGCATCCCTGTGGAACGCTTTCGAGTCCATGCCCTGACGAATTGAGGCTGTTCTGAGGGCAAAAAAGGTGTGCAACTTAATATTAGGAAGGTGTTCTTAATGTTTTGTATGCTATGTATAACGGAGGCCCAGACAAAACCACAGCAGAAAAGCTGATTCTCAAACTTTTAAACAACTCTTGATGGTCAGAGGGAAACGTTCATGGCAGACTCCAAATATCATGCCGCCTCATCATTTATTCCTAGACTCTGTTTTTATGTGTTAAAGATATGTATCATTTTCAGATTGTGCATTGTCCCCAGATTTTGCATTCTCAATTTCACCCAATCCCCCATCCCTGTCTGTAAGACACCACGTGACCTGTTGATCTTCTACTGTAAGCAGAATTTAATGGAAATTAAGAATGTTTCTTGTTGAGTATTTTGATTGTTTTTCCAATAAAAACTATTTTAAAACAAAGTTTTGACATTTATTGCGATTAAAATTATGATATATTGCGCCACCCTGTGGTCATTCATATATTGTACACACCGCGTCTGTATTTCATTGGTCTATTTCCTGTAAATTCTGTTGGGTGGGACAGGCGGAAGCAGCAGTAGTAGCACTGTCCTGACAAACGCTGACCTTTTTATTTTGCTGGGGCTGGAAGATTGACATATCTCTCAAAATGCCGGTAAGTAAAATAAAATATTATGACCAACTCTTAAATGAACAACCTTTATCAAGTGTGAAATGTAATTATGTGTATTACAACTGTATCTTCCCCAATCTGTATCGACCGTAGCATTTGCTAGCTAGCTAACGTTAGTCATTTCAGTCTAAGGTTGATGCTTTTTGGTCACCGAAAATAACGTGGCTATGAAATTGTTGTAAATATATTGCTTGATATTATTCTCTAGTTGCTAATTGAATGAAAACGGGTAAAATATAGACATGTTAACTTATGCAGCCAATGGAGTTAGCTGGTTAGTTTCTTGTCAGAAAGATAATCTCATGAAAGGGTAAACATTTATATATGCATAAACTGTTTCATTTTCTTTTGCAGGCGTACCACTCTGGCTTGATGGATGGGGACACTAAGATGGTGGGGAACATGGCTATGCTGCCACTGAAAACCCAGTTCAAGGGCCCAGCAGCGAAAGAGAGTATGTTTCAGCTAGCAAACTTTTAACAATTTATTGACACTCTTTAAAGAGCTGGTGTTGACAATCATGCCTAATGTACCATACTCCACCCATGGGGTTTAGAAAATAGCCTACAAGAATGGACAAAGTTCTTGTGTGATATGAAAAAGTGTTAATTATAAATAGGATATCCACCTTTCAACCTGCACATTGTGTATTTTCTCTCATTTCCCGTGACTGTGGTTGCCTGGTGGTGCATGTTGCTTCCTTATTAGGTGCCATGAGTCACTCAAGTGTTCATTCTCTTTATTTTGAAGAACTTGGCCAGCATCCCTTAACTTCCTCTATACTCAACTCGTCTTTGTTATTTCAGCCAAAGAATCAGACATCATTGAGGAGGCCATCTACTATTTCAAAGCTAACGTCTTCTTTAAGAATTATGAAATCAAGGTAAGGCAAAATGGAAGTTTGCCAATTTTTTAGCAAAATGGTGACTGTTAAAAATGGAAGTGGTCATCTGCTATTTATGGAATGCTGTCTGAGTAGAATACAGTCGGCTACATGTTTAAGGAAGCCCCTCCCTCCCCCCCCCCCAAGGCCTCTTTCTACGGTGGTTTGGCCCTGGGTATCCCACATGCCCCAGCCTGCTTCTCTGAATATTGCCTGTGGAAATGCAATCTTCTCATAGCTCTGTTAGCAGCCCTTAGTTAACTGAAACTAGGCTCTGCTCTCATACACCCCTTGACCAGGGGTTCTCAAACTTTTTGATAGCAAATTTGTCAGGGACCCCTCCTAATCAGAACACAACTCAAGCGAGATAAAAATAGCATATAAGGAGTTTTACTATGACTTCGGCAGTGCATGGCCGGACAAACCAAGTCTCGGGCCCTGGGAAGGAACATTTTAAAGGTCTGCCTTTTGCCATGGAGAGAACCTTTTGCAATTTTCAAGCTAATTTCCTGCTATTCTAAATTTTTTGTCATGGAGCAGAAAGAGAACTTTGCTGTTTTATAAAATAAAAAAATATTGGGGAAATAAAAGTATGAAAAATGCATAATTGAAGTACTGTAGTGGATACCAATATCCCTGTGAGCCTCCCAGGCCCATGTTGCCCAGGGTTATAAGAGCGTCTGCTAAATTATGTAAATGTATTCTCTGGTACTTTTGTATACTTTTTAGGCAGTAGTTCTGAAAGTAGCGCCCACGAGTTGTGTCCCCCGAAAATTGCTTTATTTTTTTTGGAACAAAAGATTTAGTACATATTGTATGGGACAATATGCAAATGTTTTGGAGAAGGATTATTTGAAAAATAGAATTTTATTCAGTGAATGGTTTTTTAGCATTTTGATAAGAGATTAAAATGTAATGAATTGAAGGTTATTTGCTGATGTAAAAATATAAATGTACAGATTTTTTGGGGGTGTGGTAGTAGGGTCATGAGGATATTCTGTCAGGAAAACATTTTCAGCTGAAAGTTTGAATACCATTGCTCTAAACGTATTCCATGGATCCCTTGGTATTTGTTTAATCTGTTAGTAATATTTTGTAAATATTAAAAAGTATTGATCGTCCGCGGACCCCACTTTGAGAACCCCTGCCCTAGACACAGTATGTTGACATTAGACAGAGACAGTATTCTCATTACTAGGGACTTACGCCAAGCCTTGTGACCGACAGACTTATCATTGGCGTTATCAAACTGTTTTCTTCTCCCCAGAACGAGGCAGACAGAACACTGATCTACGTCACCCTGTACATTTCTGAATGCCTGAAGAAGCTACAGAAGGTAACGGAATGTAATTGATTGATTGCCAACAGGATTTTCTAATAAACTAAATAGCTAATGATTCCAAATGACCCACCCCCTTAGTGATATGGAATGTTGGGTCCTCAGAACAATTCAAAGAAAGACATTTGTTTTGTATGGGGAACTCCCCGCCTGAATTTTTATGATGTTTATTTGCAGTGCAGCTCCAGGGGTCAGGGAGAGAAGGAGATGTACACTCTGGGCATCACCAACTTCCCATCCCTGGAGAACCTGGTTTCCCTCTCAACGCCATGTATGCAAAGCCCAGCAACAAGCAGGAAGAGGGTAAGGAGCATGTGGTAATGTACTACAGTAGTAACATTCTCGAGTACAGAGACTGATAGGTGCCACACTAACAGTACATTAGTGTTTTAGGCTGCACTGTATAGTATTCAGTAATGACAGCAGTTGTGATTTAACAGTTTGGTCAATGATCTGTATTGTCATGTTTTGTGTGGGACCCTAATAAAACCCCCCCCCCCAAAAAATGTGATTTTGTCTCCGGTTTTCCTGATCAGAGACCATGAGGGCGTACCTGCAGCAGATCCGCCAGGAGACGGGGCTGAGGCTATGTGACCGTGTGTTTGACCCCCAGACAGACAAACCCAGCAAGGTGAGACATCTGACCACTCCTGTCACACACAAAAATAAATAATGGATGGACTAACCCTGACTCTCTTTTTCAGTGGTGGGTGTGCTTTGTCAAGAAACAGTTCATGAACAAAAGCCTGTCAGCTCCTGGACAGTAGACAACTCGGGACTAAACTAGTGCAAGGCAGATGGATTTTTTGTTTCGTTTTTGTGCCTCCATTTTTGGTGGCTAAGATGATTTTATACTGAATAAGAAGAGTACATGGACATGCTATTGTTGTCAGGCCGCTTCATTGATCATGTTAAGCTATTGCTTAATGCAATAAAACAATTATGAAAACATGTCCCAGTTGATCTTTCTTACACAATCAAGAAAGACAGTGGTCGTTACATTTTGTCAAGCAACAAGATTAGTTTTAAAAACTTTATTGGGCTCAAGTTAAACAATGTGGGTGTAAAAACTCCTGCGATTTCACAACTCATGCCAGCCTTCACTCCACACAGGTGAATAGGTGGTACTACTATCAGTTAAATGAACTATTGCGCTACAAGTCTTATTGCTTGTTCTAACAATCCATCACCACTTCCATTATTTTGATCCTTTGCATTGCATGAATAACAACTTGCGCAACTCTAAAGCACCTCCTCTTGGATAGAAATTGTGCTATGGCTAATCTGCTTGCACAGGAGAAAATGTCAAAACTGGCATCACCTTATTCACATCCCTGACAGACTACACACAAACTACTTTCAAACAAAAAAGACAACCATCTGAAATGTGATTACTTTTCTTTCTGTACATGTTAACAGATGACCAAAGCTTAATTATTCACTCTCAAGGATAGATGTAAAGGGAAAATGACATTGAACACAGACGTCCCTGAAAGAAATATCCTAGAAAGGAAATCAAGTATACAAACGTCACTGATAGTAGTACCTTAAGTACACAAAGGGGAAAACCCAAAGGACAAATCATTTGATATCTATGATATACAGTACATAATATTTACATACACAAAAAATACAATTAGAGCTGAGATCTTTATTACAAAAAATATCTGTTCCTCATGCTAATATTCTTAGTTTTTTTTGGTTTAACCCAAAAAAAATTATTGATCAAAAACCGAAGAAATGCAGACATCACTGGAGACGGTTTCCTTAGCTTACAGGGAAACAACTTAAGGCAGCAGAGTGTATTAACCCTTTTGAGAGAAAGGACTTTGCAGAACACTTTGGAAGAATGGGCTTCCAAACATAAAGAACAGGGGCAACGAAAGCCATTGTTGGTTGGTATTCATCTCTTCAATGACCAAAAACGCTCCAAACTCCAATTGCATAAGAGACAAGACTAAAGTAGATGGCTCAGTGGCAGGTTGAAAAAGAATACACTCAAAAAAACATGCATCTTGAGTTGTCATAATTATCATTGAAATAAATAAGTCTAAGGTTTAGAAAACTGAGCAATAACCATGAGGGGATGTTTTTCCTCCCCACATCCACATGGAAGAAATGAGACGACCCTATTTACACAACTAAAGAAAAGGGCTGGCTTTTTATTCCACATCTTCCTAAGAGCAGCGCACTGGTGCAAAAGTCTTTATTGAAGAGTGACATGATGGATCTCCCGATGTTAAAATTTAGCTAAAAAAAGTAAAAAAACAGTTAGCTTGCAGACAAAATATAAATCAAGGGAAACGATAATCAAAGTAGCGACAAGACTGACGGGGAAACAAACAATGGAAGAATATGTACTATCCAGCCAAGGCACTGAATGGGTCTCAATTTCTGCAATGTGAGTGTGAGATTATAGCTGAGCGCTGTGTGGATCCAGAAAGGTACTCACGGTGTGTGGGGGAGGGGGCCTAGTCAAATGCCATCTCCTGACTCTTTCGTACACAGCGAGCCACCTTCCTCTTGAACTCGCCGCAAGGATCCTCTCTCCATTCTTTCTGCAGGGCACAACACAAATGTACATTAAAAACCTGACCTTCACAAGCACTACAATCAACTAAACTGGTGGATTATCCCTCACTACTACCAAACATTTTGTTCTACAAAAACACAAGTCAAGACAAACTATATGAGCACTGAAAAAGCAGACATTTCACTTCTTGTTTCTATAAATTAATTGAGGGCATAAAATAAACTGTTTCAGCTTTTTCCTCACTGAATGGAATATATATTTCCCCCGTCTGCAAGGGTGTATGTCTGGGACTTACGGCTGCGTCCACATTGGCGGGCGAGTCGCCGTTTGGGTCGGCCAGCATTGAGATGACACTGATCATGATGGTCTCTACAGTGTGAATGGGCAGCCAGCGCTCCTCAGGCTTCTCATAGCCAAACTTGTCCTCACCGGGCTCGTGCAGGATAGAGATACACACGTCACCATTCTTTGCAACTGAAAGAGAGGAGAGAGGGAGTACAGGAATCATAAACTGTGCTGACCAGCTGACTAACACACAGGTCTTTAGTCAGCTGTATAGTACATGGAACAAAACTTGCTTAAAACTGAAGATCTTCAATTCAAATGTCAAATCAATTTTTCTGTATGGATCTGAAACATGGAGAATACTTTGAAAATGCTGAACAAACTAAAGACATTCATTAACCACTGTCTCAGATGTCTTGTGGGAGTCTACTGGCCAGACACCATCAGCAACATCAGACTGTGGGAAATTACAAAACAAGACCCAATAGGAAGCACAACAAGGAAGTGTAGCTGGATAGGACACACACAATAAATAAAATCACAAAACAGACCTCAACATGGAACCCACAAGGAAAACACAAAAGAGGAAGACCTAGAACCACCAGGAGGTGTGCCATGGCAAGGCCTAGAGTGAATAGCACAGAAAGGGATGAAGGCTATTCATCAATGAAACCACTTACCATTGGGATGCCATATTTCTGTGATGAACTTCATCTTCGGAGGCCTATGTGGGTAGTCATGGGGAAAGGTCAGGTAGGCTTTAAAGAAACCACCCTCGCTGTAAAGAGACAAGGTGAGAAAATGAGTGTCACTCATACAGAGGTGCTAAGTGGCCGTCACTAGTTACCACAGCCACAAAGTCATAAACCCCACCTATTTCTACAATTTCTGTTCTTAAAAAAGGACCCCCCAGAGGAAGTTGCCACCACTTTTTAGTTTCCTGTCCTAGAGATGACATGCAGATTTAAGTTCTACCTCCGAAGAATGACGAAGGCTACTTATACATATTCATGAATTGGTTGTGGGAATTTCCACATGGAGTTGATAAACAACAAATAGGGCACTGACAGCTGTCAGTGTAGCTAGTTGGCATGCTAACCTTATCTAGCTCGCTATCTTGTTAACCTTACCTAACTAGCTAATGTCATCTGTTGCATTAAAAATATAAAAAAATACTACACCGTATTCAAAAGATTAGCTAGCTGGCTCTATGGCTGGCTCTGGAGCTGTATTTGTCATAAGCATTGATTTAGGGAAAACTATGCCACAGATGGAAACCACTGGCCTTTCTCAAAAGTTTTGGCATATTCCATAAATTGCGGCTGCGAATCCACCATAGAAATAGTTTGAAAGAATAAGATGAGGCTCCGGTATTATAGATAATAGGGTTGAATGGCAGGAACCCGGTTACCGAGATTAACCGCCCAAAACTGAGAGAAACCGGTAAATTATTATAAATTATTTATATGAACAGCATGGCGTGAAATGAAACGTAATTATATGCGATGTTAAAATCTGGCATCGCTAAGGCCTCTGCATGATGAATCAACACTCAGGGTGGGGACAAACAGCCCACCTCAGTATGGAGCGCAGTTCACAATGCATGTAGAGCTATCATCTCATCATGGTAACTTTTCTTCTTGTGACAGGTTTTATTTATTTAACCAGGTAAGCCAGTTGAGAACAAGTTCTCATTTACAACTGCGACCTGGCCAAGATAAAGCAAAGCAGTGCGATAAAACAACAGAGTAAACAAAACATAAAGTCAAAAATACAACAGAAAATATATATACAGTGTGTGCGAATGTAGTAAGTTATGGAGGTAAGGCAATAAATAGGCCATAGTGCAAAATAATTACAATTTCGTATTAACACTGGAATGATAGATGTGCAGAAGATGATATGCAAATAGAGATACTGGGGTGCAAATTAGCAAAATAAATAACAATATGGGGATGAGGTAATTGGGTGGGCTAATTTCAGAATGGCTATGTACAGGTGCAGTGATCGGTAAGCTGCTCTGACAACTGACGCTTAAAGTTAGTGAGGGAGATAAGAGTCTCCAGCTTCAGAGATATTTGCAGTTCGTTCCAGTCATTGGCAGCATAGAACTGGAGGTGTTGGCTTTGGGGATGACCAGTGAGATATACCCGCTGGAGCGCAGACTACGGGTGGGTGTTGCTATGGTGACCAGTGAGCTAAGATAAGACGGGGATTTGCCTAACAGTGATTTATAGATGACCTGGAGCCAGTGGGTTTGGCGACGAATATGTAGTGAGGGCCAGCCAACAAGAGCGTACAGGTCACAATGGTGGGTAGTATATGGGGCTTTGGTGACAAAACGGATGGCACTGTGACAGACTACATCCAATTTGCTGAGTAGAGTGTAGGAGGCTATTTTGTAAATGACATCGCCGAAGTCAAGGATCGGTAGGATAGTCAGTTTGACGAGGGCATGTTTGGCAGCATGAGTGGAGGCTTTGTTGCGAAATAGGAAGCCGATTCTAGATTTAACTTTGGATTGGAGATGCTTAATGTGAGTCTGGAAGGAGAGTTTACAGTCTAACCAGACACTTAGGTATTTGTAGTTGTCCACATATTCTAAGTCAGTCCCGCCGAGAGTAGTGATTCTAGTCGGGTGGGCGGGTGCAAGCAGCGTTCGGTTGAAGAGCATGCATTTAATTTTACTAGTGTTTAAGAGCAGTTGGAGGCTACGGAAGGAGTGTTGTATGGCGATGAAGCTTGTTTGGAGGTTTGTTAACACAGTGTCCAATTAAGGGCCAGATGTATACAAAATGGTGTCGTCCGCATAGAGGTGGATCCGAGCGTCACCAGCAGCAAGAGCGACATCATTGATATACACAGAGAATAGAGTCGGCCCCTCCATAGAGACGGCCAGAGGTACAGACAACAGGCCCTTCGATTTGCCACATTGAACTCTACCTGAAAAGTAGTTGGTGAACCAGGCGAGGCAGTCAGAGAAACCAAGGCTATTTAGTCTGCCAATAAGAACGCGGTGGTTGACAAGAGTCGAAAGCCTTGGCCAGGTCGATGAAGACGGCTGCGCAGTACAGTCTATTATCGACCGCGGTTATAATATTGTTTAGGACCTTGAGCGTGGCTGAGGTGCACCCATGACCAGCTCGGAAACCGGATTGCATAGCGGAGAAGGTACGGTGGGATTCGAAATGGTCGGTGATCTGTTAACTTGGCTTTCAAATACTTTCGAAAGGCAGGGCAGGATGGATATAGGTCTGTAACAGTTTGGATCTAGAGTGTCACCTCCTTTGAAGAGGGGGATGACCGAGGCAGCTTTCCAATCTCTAGGGATCTCAGACGTTATGAAAGAGAGGTTGAACAGGCTAGTAATAGGGGTTGCGACAATTTCGGCTGCTAATTTTAGAAAGGGTCCAGATTGTCTAGCCCAGCTGATTTGTAGGGGTCCAGATTTTTCAGCTCTTTCAGAACATCAGCTGTCTGAATTTGTGTGAAGGAGAAGCGGGTGGGGGGGGCATGGGCAAGTTGCAGCGGAGGGTGCAGAGCTGGTGGCCGGGGTAATGGTAGCCAGGTGGAAAGCATGGCCAGCCGTAGCAAAATGCTTGTTGAAATTCTCAATGTTTGTAGATTTATCAGTGGTGACAGTGTTTCCTAGCCTCAGTGCAGTGGACAGTTGGGAGGAGCTGCTCTTATTCTCCAGGGACTTTACGGTGTCCCAAAACTTTTTGGAGTTAGTGCTACAGGATGCAAATTTCTGTTTGAAAAAGCTAGCCTTTGCTTTCCTAACTGTTTGTGTATATTGGTTCCTGACTTCCCTGAAAAGTTGCATATCGCCGGGACTGTTCGATGCTAATGCAGTACGCCACAGGATGTTTTTGTGCTGGTCAAGGGCAGTCAAGTCTGAGGAGAACCAGGGGCTATATCTGTTCTTAGTTCTGAATTTCTTTTATGGGGCATGCTTATTTAAGAGGAAAGCACTTTTAAAGAACAACCAGGCATCCTCTACTGATGGAATGAGGTCAATATCCATCCAGGATACCCGGGCCAGGTCAATTAGAAAGGCCTGCTTGCTAAAGTGTTTTAGGGAGCGTTTGACAGTGATGAGGGGTGGTCGTTTGACCGCGGACCCATTACGGACACAGGCAATAAGGCAGTGATCGCTGAGATCCTGGTTGAAGACAGCAGAGGTGTAGAGGGTAAATTTGTCAGGATGATATCTATGAGGGTGCCCATGTTTACAGATTTAGGGTTGTACCTGGTAGGTTCGTTGATAATTTGTGTGAGTTTGAGGGCATCTAGTTTAGATTGTAGGTTGGCTGGGGTGTTAAGCATATCCCAGTTTAGGTCACCAAGCAGTACGAACTCTGAGGATAGAGGGGGGAAATCAGTTCACATATGGTGTCCAGGGCACAGCTCGGGGCTGAGGGGGGATCTGTAGCAAGCGGCAACAGTGAGAGACATTTCTGGAAAGGTGGATTTTTAGAAGTAGGAGCTCAAACTGTTTGGGCACAGACCTGGATAGTACGATAGAGCTCTGCAGGCTCTCGCTACAGTAGATTGCAACCCCACCCCCTTTGGCAGTTCTATCGAGACGGAAAATGTTGTAGTTGGGGATGGACATTTCTGAATTTTTGGTGGCCTTCCTAAGCCAGGATTCAGACACTGCTAGAACATCAGGGTTGGCGGAGTGTGTTAACGCAGTGAATAACTCAAACTTAGGGAGGAGGCTTCGAATGTTAACGTGCAAGAAACCAAGGCTTTTACGGTTACAGAAGTCAACAAATGATAACGCCTGGGGAGTAGGAGTGATACTGGGGGCTACAGGGCCTGGGTTAACCTCTACATCACCAGAGGAACAGAGGAGGAGTAGAATAAGGATACGGCTAAAGGCTTTAAGTACTGGTCTTCTAGTGCGTTGGGTACAGAGAAAAAAAAGGGGCAGATTTCCGGGTGTTGTAGAATAGATTCAGGGCATGATGTACAGACAAGGATATGGAAGGATAGCATCACCGGAGGCACCGATTGAGTCAGTCTCCGCATGTATGGGGGGTGGCACAAAGGAGCTATCTAAGGCAGGTTGAGCTGGGCTGGGGGATCTACAGTGAAATAGTACAATAAGAAATAACCAAAACCGCAATAAGCAAGGCATATTGACATGGGAGAGAGGCATAAAGCAATCACAGGTGTAATTCGAGAGAGCTAAGCCAACAGCTGGTAATGGCGACAAAGTTTGGGCTGAGGCTAAACATAAACAGGATGCGGTACCGTAAAAAGGAACAGTCCAGCAGGCAAAAGCTGTATAGCTGAGTTATCATAAGGTCCGGTGAACAGCAATAGGAGAGTCCGGAGGTAGTTCGGGGGTTGCTATAGCACTGGCGAGCAAGAGGCCACGGCTAGCATGTGCTAGTGGGCCGGGGCTAGCAGATGTATCTTCGTGGTCGACGTCGTAACGGGAAGCCTGTTGTAACCACATCAGATGATTTCGTCGGCAGACCAGTGGTGTTGGATCGGCGGGGCTCCGTGTCAACACTGATTAGCCAACAACAACGTCCATTTGGTTGCAGCTAGCTAGCTGCGATGATCCGGTGTTAAAGGTCCAGTGATTCTGGCAGAAAAACCGATATGTTCTGGGTCGATAACGCACTGTGCAGACAGTGCAGACTGGCCGATAATAGTCCAGGCTAGAGCTGGCTGGTAGGTAGTGCAGGCCACGGACAATGGTGAAAAACCGCTAACAGTGGCTAATAGCAAGTAGCTAGTTAACTGGCTACTCCCGTCCGGTAGACAGAGAGGTAGATAGCCGGGATATGGGGCTAGCTCGAGGCTAACTTGTGCTTGCTTCGGGGGCAGTGGTGATTAGCCAAACAGCAATATCCATTCGGTTGCGGCTAGCTAGTTGCGATACGGTGTTAATGTCCAGTGATTCGTTATTCCGGCAGAAAAATCTGATGTTCTGGGTGAAAACCGCTAACGGTGGCTTATAGCAAGTAGCTAGTTAGCTGGCTAGCTAGTTTCAACTGGAGATTCTAGATAAAAGGTAAGTCAATAATAGAATCCGTTCCACATTGAGTGAGGTGGGTTGCAGGAAAGTATATTTTGTAGAAGGATGAAAAGTGTGATAGGGAAATAAACGAAAAATACAAAAAAAATGGCTATTTACACAGACACACAAAGAACACGACCGCACTGCTACGCCATCTTGGAACAAGGTAGGCCTTCATTTGCTGCAGCATAGCCTATGCTACAGTAATAAAGACAGAATGCGCGTCTAATTTACACATCTCCATCTGGCTTTCGGGGGTCACCTTGTTTTTTATTTTTATTGTAAAGATACTTTTTTTTATTGCAGCTGCAGAGTTTTAAAACAGCCTATCACTCGCGAGCACAGTCTCCTAGCCTACCTCTTTCCGGTATTAAATTCAATGCAGTATTAGCCTTATATTTAGCTAATTAATGATGGGTTATGCATAATAAGCTTCTAATTTCTAGCCTCCATCTCTTGCGCAATACGCAAGCACCTGTGATCCGCTGGCCTCATTTAAAAAAACGTTCCTTACCTCTTGGAGCCTCATGCAGGAAAAGCAAGACGAGAATAGCAAAAACAGGTTTAGAAATGTTTGCAAATGTATTAAAAAATAAAACTGAAAAATCACATTTACATAAGTATTCAGACCCTTTATGCAGTACTTTGTTGAAGCACCTTTGGCAGCGATTACAGCCTTGAGTCTTCTTGGGTATGACGCTACAAGCTTGGCACACCTGTATTTGGGGAGTTTCTCCCATTCCGCTCTGCAGATCCTCTCAAGCTCTGTCAGGTTGGATGGGGAGCGCTGCTGCACAGCTATTTTCAGGTATCTCCAGAGATGTTCGATCGGGTTCAAGTCCGGGCCACTCGAGGACATTCAGAGACTTGTCCCGAAGCCACTCCTGCGTTGTCTTGGCTGTGTGCTTAGGGTCATTGTCCTGTTGGAACGTGAGCTTTCGCCCAAGTCTGAGGTCCTGAGCGCTTTGGAGCAGGTTTTCATCAAGGATCTTTCTGTACTTTGCTCCGTTAATCTTTTCCTCAATCTTGACTATTCTCCCAGTCCCTGCCGCTGAAAAACATTCCCACAGCATGATGCTGCCACCACCATGCTTCACCGTTGGGATGGTGCCAGGTTTCCTCCAGGCGTGACGCTTGGAATTCAGTCTTGGTTTCAACAGACCAGAGAATCTTGTTTCTCATGGTCTGAGAGTCTTTAGGTGCTTTTTGGCAAACTCCAAGTGGGCTGTCATGTGCCTTTTACTGAGGAGTGGCTTCCGTCTGGCCACTCTACCATAAAGGCCTGATTGGTGGAGTGCTGCAGAGATGGTTGTCCTTCTGGAAGGTTCTCCCATCTCCACAGAGGACCTCTAGAGCTCTGTCAGGGCAGCCAGCTCTAGGAAGAGTCTTGGTGGTTCCAAACTTCTTCCATTTAAGAATGATGGAGGCCACTGTGTTCTTGGGGACCTTCAATGCTGCAGACATTTTTTGGTATCCTTCCCCAAATCTGTGCCTCAACACAATCCTGTCTCTGAGCTGTCATGGCTTGGTTTTTGCTCTGACATGCACTGTCAACTGTGGAACCTTATATAGACAGGTGTGTGCCTTTCCAAATCATGTCCAATCAATTGAATTTACCACAGGTGGACTCCAATCAAGTTGTAGAAACATCAAGGATGATCAATGGCAACAGGATGCACCTGAGCTCAATTTCGAGTCTCATAGCAAAGGGTCTGAATACCTATGTAAATAAGGTATGTTTTTTTATTTGTAATAAATGTGCAAACATTTACAAAAAAATTTTTTTTGCTTTGTCATTATGGGGTATTGTGTGTAGATTGATGGGGAATGTATTTAATTTAATCAATTTTAGAATAAGGCTTTAATGTAAGAAAATGTGGAAAAAGTGAACGGGTCTGAATACTTTCCGAATGCCCTGTGCACCAACTTTTTAAAGGGCAGGTAGTGAGTTCAGAATTCTATCACCTGAAGCATGCGCAGAACCATGTAAACACATGCACGAGCTCAGCAAGTATGAATGCCTCCTGCATTCATTTTTTAATCTTGTGTACATGCTTCAGGTGATAAATCTGAACACATTACAAAAGTTGATGGAATAATATTTCATGTGGATATATTGTCTCACATTCCTACCTGCAAAAGGACCAACCACATGGACAACCGGTAAAGTAAGGTAAAAACATATTTGTATTCAACCTTCTGGCTTGTAGAGGTCGTGAGGAAACTTTCCTGATCCTAACGCTCATTTATCCCCAACGTTGAATCCAACGCAATTCAACGTGGGGTCTCCAGGCTATGGCTTTAACAAACACAGCAGGTTTGTAAAACACTCACAATAATGTATCTTGAGGGCCAATAACAACCACCTCCCACTGATGGATGTCATCGTCGTCTATGAGACCGGCAGAAAATCCCTCCACAGGGTTCTTGTTGAGCTCTAAAAGGGGTAAACAAACACGCTGACATTATTACCCAATACCCACCCCTGAAAATGTGCTCTACTTGCTGCCATGCCTGTTGTCAAGCTTTTCATAGACGTCAGTCTAAAACTCAGCTAACTAACTAGGTAACGGACCAGTTAAAATGAAAATTGAACGTTATTTAGCTTGAGGAAATTAACTAGTGTGGCTATGACTACATAAATGGCACACTTTTCTACAAGTCTTAGCTAGTTAGCAAACGTAACGTTACCACCAGTGTTCTGTTTTGCTAGCTAGTTAACTAGCTAACAAGATGGTCTGTCACGTTAGCTAGCTAGCTAAACATACATCAGCTGGGAATTTGCATTGCGTACTAGCCGTAGCTAAGTCGACATTTAAATACAAGTAAAACAAATACTATTTGATTACAAGTGGTTAGCCACTAGCTAGTCAAGTTACACGTAACTACCACACTTTTCCAACTCGGCTTAATTTAGCTAGGTGCTAGCTTACCTGCCAGTTGTTTTCGAAGCAACAGTGATGATTGATCAGTCATTTTATGTGGATTAGCCTACCTATAAAGATAACGAACTGAACTGCCTCCAACATAAAATATAACAGAACAAAGGATGTGAGAGAGACCTAGCTAGCTTGTTACCGACGTTTGAACAAGGCCTTATTGGTTAATCGTTTCACACAGAGGCACAGCTTGCTACAACTAGGCTAGCAAAATCCCCAAACACCGCATGCGCCCTACTCCGCAAGAGAGAAAGAGGTGCAAGCCTTACATCAGGTTTACCCAACTGCGCGAGTGATTTTATTTGGCCCAACATTATCTGAGCAAAAAAAAAGTTTATGATTGTTTATTGTTGGACATAAGACTATAAAACACAAGCAAATCAGCTCCAAGTGATTTGAATGTTGTAAATCTATTCCAAAGTATTCCATTTATATAATAACAAAACAAATGTTGGACATAACTGTTAAAACACCATCTCCAAGGGATTTTAATTTCGGAAATCTGTTCCAGAGTTTTCCCACGCATAAGAGATATATATGTCATCATATATAAAATGTAAGCAAGGTTTGAAATGATTTTATTTTAGCCAAATATATCGGTTTGGACTTCTTGCGGTCAATTTTTAGTCTAGAAATTATTTTTAATTATGTTCCGACCCCCTGACCATCCGCTTAAGAAAAAAAACGGCCCGCTGCTGAATCTAGTTGATGATCCCTGCTGTAGACTGTTGATCCTGTTCCCATGTCAGTCTCTATGGTGGACCATTCTTGATACACACAGGAAACTGTTGAGCATGAAAACCCCAGCAGCATTGCAGTTCAAGGCACAAACCGGTGCGCCTGGCACCACTATCATACCCCGTTCAAAGGCACTTACATTTTTTGTCTGGCCCATTCACCCTCCGAATGGCACACATACACAATCCATGTCTCAAGTCTTAAAAATCCTTCTTTAACCGGTCTCCTCCCCTTCATCTACACCAGGGCTCTCTAACCCTGCTCCTGGAGAGCTACTGTCATGTAGGTTTTCATTCCAACCCTAATCTAGCACACTTGATTCTAATAATTAGCTGGTTGATAAGATGAATCAGGTGAGCTACAACTTGGGTTGGAGCAAAACCTACAGGAGGGTAGCTCTCCAGGAACAGGGTTGGAGAGCCCTGATCTACACTGATTGAAGTGGATTAAAAAAATGACATCAATAAGGAATTATTGCTTTCACCTGGATTCAGTGGTGGAAAAAGTACCCAATTGTCATACTTGACCATTTTCCTGTCCTGCTAAGTATTCGAAATGTAACAAGTACTTTTGGGTGTCAGGGAAAATGTATAGAGTAAAAAGTACATTATTTTTATTAGGAATATAGTGAAGTAAAAGTTGTAAAAAATATTTAAATTATTTTACACCACTGCCTGGATTCACCTGATCAGTCTATGTAATGGAAAAAGCAGGTGTCCTTAATGTTGTTTTTTTTTATACTCAGTGTATGTGATCATATACAAATGTAAGCAAGGTTCAAAATGATTGTTTTAGTCAAATATTACACTGAACAAAAATATAAATGCAATATGCAACAATTTCTAAGATTTTACTGAGTTACAGTTCATATAAGGAAATCAGTCAATTGAAATTAATGCATTAGGCCCTAATCTATGGATTTCACATGACTGGGAATACAGATATGCATTTGTTAGACACAGATAATTTTTTTTTTTAAAGGTAGGGGCGTGGATCAAAAAAACCAGTCAGTATCTGGTGTGACCACTTTTTGCCTCATGGAGCGATGCAATTCAGGGAGGTCTAAAGAAACAAATCCGACCACCGAGCTAACCAGGAAGAGCATGACGTCTTCAGCGAAAAGATGAGCAGTTGGAAAGGGAGTAAATCCCGATGATAGTGAGGATAACAGCTCGGATGAGGGATCGGAAGACGATGATGATTCAGGAGAGGAGGACAGCGGATCAGAAGAGGAGAGCAATAAAGAGGTCAAGGCTGAGGATAGAATAGACGCCGGAAGGGAAAGGAGGGGGAAAATGGAGTCCTTAGAGAAGGCAAGAAACAGATATAGGTTTGGAGAAATGAGGTATTATCATAAGGAGATGTAAACTTGGATGAATGAGGAGGAATGGAGGGAAAAAGAGAGGCAGAGGAGGTCTAAGAGAGAGATGGAGGAAGATTGTGAGTTTGAGTCAGTTAAAAATGGCGGGAAAAAGGGAGAAGGTTTGTTAAAGAAGAGTGGAAGGAAATGTAAGCAAAGTGAGCTGAAGACAGGAGTAGAAATGGAAGTGAATGAGGGTGATGTATCGGAGGTGGAAGGTGTGGTGAAGTACTCGGAGCCCGAGGATTGCACAGTGGGTCATGATAAAGATGAGTCTGTGACAGTAGGAGTGAAGTTTGTGGAAAAAATGGATCCTTGCCTTTTGGCTGATCCAATTGTGGTTTCAAGATGGGTGAAAAGAGTGTTGGGTAAAGTGGAATCGGTGAGGGTAACCAGAAGTGGTCTAGTGATAATTGTTTGTGTTTCTGTTGGGCAGAGGGAGAAGGCGCTCAGAGTTAAACAAATGGGGGAAAGAATTGTGAATTGTTTCGCTCTTAAGAAAAGGGTGCTATTGAGAGGAGTGATTACTGGAGTAGCAGTGAATGTAAAAGTTGACCAACTGAAGGAGATGATTCCCGGTGTTTGTGATGCTCGTCGTTTGGTGCGACGTAAACAGGGTGGCGAGAGTGGGGAAACAGAAGAGTCATTGTCTGTTCTTTTGAGTTTTGAAGTTGAGTCTTTGCCTGAGAAAGTGAAGTTAGGATATATAAGTTATCCAGTGTGAGCATATGTGCCGAATACCTTAAGATGTTACAGGTGTCAAACTTATGGGCATGTGGCAGCAGTGTGTAGGAGGGAGATTCCAAGGTGTGAGAAGTGTCCAGAAGGGCATGAGACAAAGGAGTGTAAAGTGGTGGTGTGTGCTAATTGTAGGGGTGCCCATGGGGCTGGGGATCAGACATGTCCAGTGCGAGAGAAGCAGGTTGAGGTATCCAGGGTAAGAGTAGAGAAGGAGTTGTCATATGCGGAGGCAGTGAAGAAAGTAGAGGAAGATGGGTCAAGGGGGAGGGATCCTGAGAGAAATGGTGTGAGTAGTAGAGATGTACCAGTACAGAGGGATAAACCAGAAAGTGATATATGGTTCAGCAAGATTGGATTTTTAGCGTTTATAGCAATGGTTATTATTATTAATTGTACTGCAGGGATGGAACTAAAAATCGAAGAAAATTGAGGTGGTGGTGGCAGCTGCAGAGAGATATTTGGGTGTGCGAGACTTGACAGCAGAAGAGTTACAGGGAGTGTTAAGTGGTGATGTCCCATCAATTCAGGTTGAGTGCATGAGGTAGGTGTGAGTGTATTTAAACAGTGGAGAAGGGTGGGGTTAATTATTATTTGTAGTGTTGAAGGTGTGAGTGTAGTGTTAGATGGTAGGATATTTCTTTGCTTTGGTTTATTTTAATTTTCAAGGAAAGATAAGGGAGTTGAACTCCAGTCTAGTAGGTGGCGGTAATGCAACAAATTGGATGCCAACCGCCGTTAAACCTCATTGAAGAAGAAGAAGATGCCTCATGCAGCGCAGGCTGTTGATTGTGGCCTGTGGAATGTTGTCCCACTCTCCTTCAATGGCTGTGCCAAGTTGCTGGATATTGGCGGGAACTGGAACACGCTGTCGTATACGTCAACCCAGAGCATCCCAAACATGCTCAATGGGTGACATGTCTGCTGAGTATGCAGGCCATGGAAAAACTGGGACATTTTCAGCTTCCAGGAATTGTGTACAGATCCTTGCGACATTGGGTCGTGCATTATCATGCTGAAGCATGAGGTGAAGGCGGTGGATGAATGGCACGAAAATGGGCCTCAGGATCTCGTCACGTTATCTCTGTGCATTAAAATTGCCATCGATAAAATGCAATTGTGTTCGTTGTCTTTTGCTTATGCCATAACCCCACCACCACCATGGGGCACTCCGTTCACAAGAGCAAACCACTCGCCCACACAGCGCCATAAACGCTGTTTGCCGTCTGCCTGGTACAGTTGAGTTGAAACCGGGATTCATCCGTGAAGAGCACACTTCTCCAGTGTGCCAGTGGCCATCGAAGGTGAGTATTTGCCCACTGAAGCCGGTTACGACGCCGAACTGCAGTCAGGTCAAGACCTTGGTGAAGACGACGAGCACGCAGATTAGCTTTCCTGAGACGGTTTCTGACAGTTTGTGCAAACCCACAGTTTCATCAGCTCCCTCAAAACTTGAGACATCTGTGGCATTTTAGAGTGGACTTTTTGTCCCCAGCACAGGGCGCACCTGTGTAATGATCATGCTGTTTAATCAGTTTCTTGATATGCCACACCTGTCAGGTGGATGGATTATCTTGGCAAAGAAGAAACGCTCACTAACAGGGATGTAAAAAAATGTGCGCACAACATTTGAGAGAAATACGCTTTTTGAGCTTATGGAACATTTCTGGGATATTTTATTTCAGCTCATGAAACATGGGACCAACACTTTACATGTTGTGTTTATATTTTTGTTCAGTGTATATCGGTTTGGGCTTTTTGTGGTCTTTGCAGTCTACTAATTATTTTTAATTATGTTCCGGCCCCCTGAAAATGTGTTCAAGAAAAAAAATCGTCCCGCGGCTGAATCTAGTTGATAATCCCTGCCATACAGTCATTGGTGCAAGCAACAAGTGCTGTTGTTTGCATGGCTACCACAAAAAATACCTTGAAATTGTAACATGCCAATGGTTACAATTAGCATATCAACGTTATAATTGTAGAAGTAGACTATTAACATCCTTTCAAATACATTTAAGAGGTTTTGTACCTCACCTCCAGAAGTATGACACTGTTTTATATCCTAGAAAGTTAAAGTCCCAATCAAATGAACCACCAGTAATAATCAACATACACAACCGAATTCCTTTCACAATTTTATTTCTGCAGCGCCTTTCAAACCAGAAATGATACATCACACACAGACATTGAAATAGTGTGTATCATTTTTTTTTTTTTTTTTTTTTTACAGGCTTAAATGTACAGTCAGAGATATAGCTCCAACAACAGTCTAGAATTGATAGTAGGGAACGTTTGTATTTCTAATACTTTTCTTTGGATGGGTGGGGAAATTCTGTCCATGCTTTGTAATATATACACATTCAGAGCAATAACTTAATTTACTATCCTTATTTACAAGTGATACTGAAATAGTAAGGTAAATATGCAAATCAGCAGTGTGGAATAAACTTTCAGGTATACTGCATATATAATGCATAAAAGCAAAACTGCAAACATCTTAAGTTGGCAAAACCTTGTTTTCAGTGATATCCATTAAGTGTCATGTAAGCACTGGAGTGCAGATCAAGCTTTTACTTCATGGGCCTTTTCAATCAACCTGCCTTGTAAGTTGTCGTTCTTCTACAGAGTGATTTATACAACATATGTTGCTTTAGATTCTTACACAACATTAGGATGGCTGCTAGGCTACTGGTTGTAAGAAACAAAACAAAAAAGTGAAACATGCATAAATAAAACCAAGGACTACCATTGCCTTGCTACCAGCCACTCATTGAACATTTCCCATTTTATAATGGGCATATGGGTCACTAGACATGACGATATCATTAATCTGGGATGTATAATATAAACTAGACCTTTACGCTGTATGCTTATGCAACAGAATTTCAGAGTAAGATAATTTTTTTAACATTTTGCTGACTGGTGAAAGGAAAAGGCAAGAAAGCATCTATGGGCAAACCAAAATATTCAGACAATCTTCACAGGGGAAAATGCTCCCCTGCTCTTGTTTCTGTTAGTTCCCTGTAGTGAGGAAATATAAAAGCCATTCACTCTTTCACAAAGTTTCACACAAACGCATACACAAAACACACAAGCTTCTTAGAGTGGGTAGAGGTTGCCTCTAACCACTGGTCCATTGCACGGTGAGATATTTTGTCTATCCCCTAATGGTTATTGTTGGGGATACAAGCTGTGGTTAGGGAAACATCCACCCACCTCAAATATAAATTCAACAACCGCTCCACTACAATTCGATACATTTGACTGCTTTTCAAAATCCAACACAAGCATCAGTTCTCATTTTGTCTATTCAATACAACCAAAATCTTTTTTAGTGTAGCTTTTTTAAATTTATTTTTTCACAAAGGCACCTTTCAAAGTCTAATAGCTTATGACATTTCCCTGTCAAGATTAAGACAGCCATCACACTTCAACATCTGACAATGAATAAACCTAAAACAAAACTGCCGAAAACTACAATAAAAACCATAGAAATAACTCCAAAACTAAAACGCTCTCCAAGCATGTACATCTTATAACTCACCCTCACACTTCATTATGTACAGTACTGATAAACCTCAACACAGTGCAATAACACCAGTAATCATTGACAGGTGTAGTCCAGTCCGGCAACTCTACTGCTAACAAGTTTTACAAGCAGCCCTACATTCAAACTGATTGTGATGGCTGTACTCCATAAGAGGTTTGAATGGGAAAATATTAAATAAAGCTCAACTAAATCTCATGTGTTTGGTCAGAGATCAGTGCCAATTGGTTTCTTTTCCAATTTTGGCAATATTCCTTTGTCTAATTTGTCTACAAAGTGATATTCCTGGCCTTTTACTGGTTAAGAACAACTTTAGGAAATAATAATAAGATGATGATTCATCTCAAGCACTCTGACTAGTAAGCTGAATGGGGAGTATGTGGTTCCAGCTGTTCTTCCAACATGGCTGCCATATCAAACACTGGTCAAAGGGAAATACTCAGCGAGGCCCATTTCCTGTCCATATTGAATATCCTGTCAAAGGCCCAGTGGCACAGACAGCAATCCTTTCTACATTCTCCTGTCTATGGTCCAAAAACCTACCTACTGGGCCCAAAGCCCTAAAGGGCAACATTCTCATTCTTAATATGGCAAACGTAGCATCAATAAAGTGTCAGACAGGGATAAATAAAGTAAAAAAACTTCTGTATATGGTTCTATCACAGGAATTTACTTTAGGCAAGGTCAATAACTGAAAAATACCTATTTTCTACATACAACTCAAAATGTACACACACAGGCCCGTGGGCTGTGACAGGCCATGCAATTGGGATAACGCTCTTAAACTCATCTGGTTTCCCTGAAAAACACACAAAAAATATATATATTATATTTTTACACTGAGTGGCTTCTTATATAGTGAGACCTCATGTCTTAGGAGTGAAGGTTAATTTGTGATTGCTTAGCGCTGAATTACTGACAGGATCAAATGGAGCGTGACTGTGACTGCAGTAGAATCCTCCTGCAGACAGCTTGGCTGTGTTGGTCAGGGTAGCGTTTCTGACGGTAAGAGGCTGTGTGTGTATGGGGCTCTGCACAGAGCTGAATAGCTAACACAGTCAGTCCGTTTAGTGGGGTCCTGTCTGACACAGAGGAGTGCGTAGTTTCCCCCTCATCTCCAACATCAGTTCACCTAAGTGCGCTTGGTGGTGGGGCAGACACACAGACCACCAGTCCAGAGTCTACCCAGTCCAGACTACAGGCACTTCTTAACACACACCCCACCGGCTGACATCTCCATGGAAACTACAGGGTGGGGGGAAGATACAGCATTGGTTGGGAGGTTGAATGGGCATGGTGGTGCCTGCCCAGAATGAGTGACATAATTGCATAGCAGCATCACGGGTGCTGAGCAGAGTCCTCAAACACATAGCCCTGACTGTAGAGCTGTGAGGCGACGCTCAATGCATTCCTTACCTGCAGAGAGAGAAAGTAGAGGTAGTATTATTCATTGATTGATGATGTCAAAGGGACAACTCACTAAGCTACCACTAAGTAAAAAATATCAGCCAAAAGTGTCCAATTACATTTGTGTAGTCATGGAAATAAAATCATGTTCTATACAGGTAGCCTAGAGGCAGGTAGCTTAGTGGTTAGAGTGTTGGGCCAGAATCCGAAAGGTCGCTGGTTGAAATCCCTGAGCCGACAAGGTGAAAAAAATCTGGCAATGTGCCCTTGAGCAAGGCACTTAACCCTAATTGCTCCTGTAAGTCGCTCTGGATAAGAGAGTCTGCGAAATGACTAAAATATAAAAAAATACATATATGCTACTCCAGTTCAGGCTAAATGGATGTGGTGAGTCAGAGGTGAATGTTCCGAGGTGACTCACACTTGCTGACGCTGAGGATGTCGTTTTGCTCTGTGAGGAGCAGGGACAGGCCCTCCATCAACAGCAGGGCCTTGTGGTAGCGCAGCACCGACTCCTCTCCCTGGTGGAACATTTCATCCAGAGCAGCAGCCTGCACCTGGGGAGGGGAGGAGGGGGGGCAGATGAGGTAGTGGGAAAAGTCAGAGGAAAACTGGCATGATAAAGGTTTGTATATGGGTTTGAATACAGCATGGGATTCCATTTGGCAGTATGGCTGAAATAATAGCAAATAGCTATTATTCAAATATCACCTTATTACAGCTACACGCTATATGCAGTGATCTTAAACATGTAGCTGTATAAATGGTGCAACGAGTCAACCACAAGCCGAGTAGAGAGGGCGAAGAAGAGATCAGGGGCCGTATAAAGCGTCTCAGAGTAGGAGTGCTGATTTGGGATCAGTTTTGCCTTTTGGGTTACAATGAATAAGATTACATGGACCTGATCCTAGATAAGCATTCCTACTCAGAGAAGCTTGATACATATGGCCCCAGATGCTGAGATGACAGAAACAGTTGAGCTAAACACAGTGTCTCTCTCACCATCTGAACAGTGTGGCTAAACAGCAGCCTCTCGGCGGTGATGGTATTGATGTGGTCCATGAGACGGTGCTTGCGGGAGAAGAAATGCTCCAGCCCTGCGTTGAGGGAGCGGCAGAATGACACGCTGGACTTGTACAGCTCGTTCAGCCTCTTGACCACTAAACACACAGTCACAGAGGAGAGGGCTGAGTGGAGCCGTGTTCGCGTTGGAAATAAAGACAGAGAGCAGTCCTACTCCACAGCAGGGTTGGGCTCAAGACATTTTTTACTGATACATCTGCCATTTGAGTGTAATGTTATATCCTTCTGTACATTTTGGCTTTTAATTTTGGCTTTTATTCAGCCATGTTCTAAGGTTGTTGGCTCTTACCTTGTTTGACAGTAGCAGAGGGGTACAGTTTTCCCTGTTTGATGCACTCCATGGCTGTGTGCAAGGCAGACGACAGAAGCTCTGCAGTCTTCATGTACAACACCAGCTGCTCCGCATAGCTGAGACACACACACGTACACACATCAGAGTCATGGTTTGTAGCTAACGCTACAGTCATTGCAAAGTGTCTCTGAATCGCAAAGTGAACAGTAACCAAGTCTGACTTGCTTTTATCGTCCATTTGTAAAGATCTCATATTCCATGAAAAGGAAAGACTCTAGACAAAGTAGTTTCAGTAACAGTGGTTTAGCTTCATTAGCTGGTAGCTTTCACCTCCACTCCCGGCTGAGGGAGCTGATCTGGTCAGCCACTAGGCTCTGCTCCTGCAGGAGGGAGGGTGGGGAGGTGTCCCCCTGCCCCGCCCCAGCCCCAGTCCCCCTGACCCCTGCCACCTCCATCAGACAGCGGGCAAAGTCCAGGGTGAAGCGCAGGCTCCTCAGGGTATCTGTGTGCTCCTGCTGCACTCAGACAGACAGAGGGAGAGAGAGAGAGAGAGAGAGAGAGAGAGAGAGAGAGAGAGAGACAAAATCACACACATTGAACGTCATAAAATATAGCCTACAGGCAGATTGGCGTTCTTCAAAACAGAGACAGAGATGAACAGACAGAAAAATCATGCAGAGACAAACTCAGAGAAACAGAAACAGCAACCCCACATCCCAACCCCTACTCCTCCTCTCACCTCCATCAGTGTCTCCTCTGGCAGCTCAGGGGCCAGGAAGCTAACAGGTCCCCCCATGTTGGCTGTGATTGGGTCTGTGAAGCTGTAACGTGGTCTGGAAGGACCCTCGAAGCCGTCCAGATAGGTGCCTGTCTGAAATCGGCTGGTGAAGGACCCCACTGGGCTTATGGAGCTGGAGGAGCTTGCTATAGAAAGAAGGGGTTAGAGCATGGAAAGTACCTCAGAACAGGCCCTTGATGGCACTTAGTCATGACTGACAGTCATTTAACTGACATAGAGTAGTGTATTGTGCATTTATTGCCACTAAGATCAGCATCCCTAGAACTCTATATTGTATTTGGATGCTGTGTGGAGCAATGACAATCAAATCATCTCACCTGAGAACTGTCTGGTCCTGGAGGGCTGTGGCGGGATGCTGCCGCTGGGTGGGGAGCCCACAGTGAACACCACCTGGGCTGGGCGGACTGAGCCTGCAGCCATGGCTCCACCACCAGAGGGCGCTGAGGACAGAGACACAGCACTCATCAGACATAACACAGGGAGGATGAATCATGGTAATGATCTAGCTACATACAGTGGAGCAAGTAGTCATTTACCCTGGTAGTTAGAGTGTTACTGCTTTAAACATCCTGTTTGCCCATATTGTCATCAGAGCAGTAGACGTACAACCTTTACCATCCCCATTTAAAACCTACAACAGGGATATTCAAAACATCATGTTTCACTACGCACCCACGTGAGCTGTAGAAACACATTTCAGTTTCTATAGAAAAAAGGAATGTTCCATTAGAGCTGGGGAGTAGCCTTGGGGTGGCCTGTGTGGACACAGGCCCACCCACTGGGGAGCCAGGCCCTGCCAGGTCCACCCAATCAGTAATACATTATTACAAATATATATTTACATAATATATTATTTACATAATATTTACAAATATATTATTACAAAAATACAATAGTCCTCAGCACCTTAGAACCAACTTCTCTGGTTTTAAACGGCCTATGTGGCATCGATATGAATCAGAAACATTAATTCAAAATAGTGTCCAAATTTACTACAAAGTGTAAATAGGATAATTTTGGTCATAAAGTCAGTCTCGTCCAAAACTGAGTTTTTTAAGTGAGTTCGTCACGACTTACTGGAGGGTTGGGTATGGATTACGATCATGTCCATTTGCCCAGTAACACAAGATAAGCAGCTGTGCTGATTGTGCTCTATCAGCTGTGCGTGCTCTATCCAATCATAGCAGACAGAACCTCCAGACAGTGAGACAGACTTGCCCATTACACGGCGCCTCAGGCTTGTTTACATAAGACAACACCTCACCAATGTTATGTTGAAATAACCCTTGGCCCTAAGCCCTTCATGGAGTGGTCACTTGCTGATGTTTGATAGTGTCAATCCCTCGAGTCTGCCACTTATTGGGGCAAAATTAGAATTGAGATGATCAGAGCGCATTTGTATCCAACCGCAACTTGTCAATATTCCAAAACCCATTTGCGAACATCTTGTGTCCCCCCGCGACCTGTTTTGTAACATGATTCTCTATGCAACACTGTCAAACAGACGCACACTCTGGTAATAGGTAGTGAGAAAGTTGTAAAAAACAAAACGGCACCGAAGCACACACGTCGCCACTTGCCAGTGACTTGATAAACCGATTGTGGCCTGGCTGCTCAATATGTCTGCTAGCTACTACCGTACTTGCTAGCTTCATTGACAAACACACAAGTTGAAACTTAGCTAGCTAGCAATTGATTTTGCTTTATTTAAGATAGTTTGGCAGCTTGCATAAGTTGTAGACATGTTATTGTTTTCTCAGAAATCAGTCCTTTCCCTACACGATAGACTTTATTCAGGGCACCGACTAGTTTTTCCATGCACGTTTTTTTTCTTGAGTAAGTGGCTGGCTATGTTGTTGCTAGGGTGATTCAGTAGGGACAAACAACAGTACCTGCCAGGATACGATATTCGAACATAACACACCCACATCAAACCACACCCCCAAGACAACTCTCGTTTGGCTTCAGTCATGGCAGCTAGCATTTCTTAATGAACAATCTTCAAAACGAGGCCAAATCTGGAAGCTCAGTCACCCATTAAAACGTTTTTGTGTTGGAATTGACTCCTGTGGCACTTTACCTAATTGATACTGTGACCCCAGTCTAAAAAATAAGTGATGAAATATGCACAGCTCTGCTGACCTTGAAGCTCCAACTCCTAACCCCCAAACATATCTATACTGAGTGACCCACATCCATATAAAGGGAAAAAAAAGGAGTAAGTCGAGTCAGTCAGTCACTGCAATATTGACTATCTAGTCAACTTCGATTGGTGAACATAACAGCTCTTTATGCTTTAGTCATTCAGGTAGACATTTACTGAAGGGTAAAACTTGGTGAACAGGTCCACTATGCCCACCTGTGATGTCTATGGCTTCTCTGTCAGAGCTGAGGTTCTCACTGCTGCCGTGCTCCCCCAGCGGCCCTCCAAACGCAGCCATCAGCAACATGTCAGACAGACGACCTGCACTCTGAGACCTGCCGAAGCCCTTGTTGTCCTCTGTAGTCCTCTGGCTGTATTGACCAAGCTGGCCAGTAGGCTGCTGTCCTGGGTCCTTGTGGTTTGAGGCAGTCCTGCTGCCGGGCGGGGCCAGAACCAGACCCTGCTGGGCCAGGAAAGTCACCAGGTTGGGGGAGCTGGGAGGTTTTGGGAACTCAAAGGGTGGTATGGCCTGTGGACAGGATATCAGTGTCAGATGCAAAGTAGAGTCTAGAGACTATAGACAGTGGGATTGATTGTTTAAAGCCATAGTACAATTGCTGAATAGTTCAGTTTCCTCTAAAACACAGGCATAGGTATTGTACTAGCTGTGTCCAAAACATGAACTCACTCTAGAGGGGGATCCAAGGATGGTGGAGAGGGGGCTGCGCTGCATGAGTTCACTCAGCCTGGGGGAGGAGTGCAGGGGCCGCATAGCCATCATGCCTGCCTGAAGGTTAGCCACCACGGGGTCCGAGTGCTGCTTCCTGATTTTCTGCCTGCCGCCACCGCTAGTGGCCTCCAGAAGACAGGGGGCACTGTGGAGCTGGGTGCCCAGGCCTTGCTTCTGCTGAGGGGGAGGCCGCGTGTCGGGGAATTGGAGAGCTGGAAAGGGACAGGGGTTAGAAGTTAGAGGGTGGGTCATAACATGGACAACAGAGGAAAAGTCCAGCACAATGTCATCTTTACATTATAAAGATGAGTTACTAACTATACAGCTGAAGGAAAGACACATGGAAGTAAAACATCTAAAGGTGATGGTTGCTTTAAGTCAGGTTTAAACCCCACTGATCAAGCCAACAGGAAGTGAATAGCCTTGGGCTACCACAGAGCAACTCCCCAATGCCCCTGGCCAGGTTAACCATTTCCACCACTAACAAAACACTAAAACAGTCAGCCCAAAGGTTGGCGGGACGGACAGGGAAGGAGGGAGGGGAATTCCGGATTCTCACCTCCGCCCCGCGACCCCCCGCTGCCCGTGCCCAACGGGCATGCCTGTCCTGGCAGCTCAGGGATGGTGCCCACTTCAGATACAGAGGGAGACGAGAGAGGGGGATGAGAAAGAAGAAGAATGAGAGGAGAGAAAGAAGAGAGGGGACATTTTATGACACATCAATGCACTCTGGCAGACATACCTTGAGGAGAGAGCTGGAAGGGTCTGGCCCCTCCTACAGACAGCCTGCGGGGGCCAGCCAAGGACCCGTGGCCTCCTGGGTAAGGCGGCGATGGGCCAGTCCTTCCGAATCCCAGGGAACTATTGCTGCTGCACCGGCGCACCGGGGTAGACAGCCTGTGGCGGGGGGAGGAACATAGTCGTCACAAAATAAGACAATATTCCCTGTTATCTCCAAGCTAGCAATGTTACTACTGTGCCACAGAAGAGACTGCATGTTTATATAAGCTTGTGTGTAAGTAAGTAATGCATGCATATGTATACGGAGTGTACAAAACATTAAGGACACCTGCTCTTTCCAAGACATAGACTGACTAGGTGAATCCAGGTGAAGGCTATGATCCCTTATTGATGTGACTTGTTAAATCCACTTCAATCAGTGTAGATGAAGGGGAGGCAACAGGTTAAATAATTATTTTTAAGCATTGAGACAAATGAGACATGGATTGTGTATGTGTGCCATTCAGAGGGTGAATGGGCAAGACAAAAGATTTAAGTGCCTTTGAACGGGGTATGGCAGTAGGTACCAGGCGCACGGGTTTGTGTCAAGAACTGCAACGCTGCTGGGTTTTTCACGTTCAACAGTTTCAGTGTGTATCAGAAATGGTCCATCACCCAAAGGACATCCAGCCAACTTGACACAACTGTGGGAAGCATTGGAATCAACATGGGCCAGCATCCCTGTGGAACGCTTTCGACACCTTGTAGAGTCCATGCCCTGACGAATTGAGGCTGTTCTGAGGGCAAAAGGGGGGGGGTGCAACTCAATATTAGGAAGGTGTCCTTAATGTTTTGTACACTCAGTGTATGTATATACTGACTGTGGGGAGCCGTCATGGCTGAGGGAATGAAGGTTCTGCTCCATGCGCTGGTAGTTGTGGACCTGAGTGGGAACAGGAATGGGCACCGACTGACCGTAGTTACCATAGTTACCACAGTTACTGCCAGAGAACTCACTTGGCCGACTGAAAGAAGAGAGAAAGCGGGAGTTAGCTACGTTTAACCATTCCCTGTCTGATCAATACATTAACAAAGAGAGTGAAACAGCAAAAATACTGAGAGAATAGTAACAGACAAAACATCTATGTAATAGTGAGAGAGAGAGAAAGAGAGAGTGAGAGAGAGAACGAGAGAGCAGTGTGAGCCCTTGATTAAGGATTGCTTTGGTAGAGAGGGGAGATGATGATCAGATTGACCTACTGAATAGGGCTGGGAATTGCCAGGGACCTCACGATACGGTTTTAATATTATCACGACACTTAGGTGCTGATACGATGTGTATTGTGATTCTCACAATTATCACAATTCTATATGTATTCCAATTCGATAATGCAATTTTATTTCTATTTGATGTTCCAAAAATATTGCTCACTGCTGCAGAGAGAAGAGAGAGCCAAGAGAAAATGAGTTTTGATCAGTCATGGAAATAAAAGTGCTGAAAACGTATTGGCTCACTATTTTAAAAGAAAATGGAGAACAAGCTATAGGATGAAAAATAACAAGAGCCAACTAGCGCTAGCTAAAGCTATCTAGCAAAATCGATTCCTCCAAATCGATATATGAAGTCAAAGTATCTATATAATATCATCCAAAATAATATTGCGATATATAACTATCGATTTTCATTACATTTTGTCAGCCGGTGATTGTCAAGCAATTAACTGCCGGTCTCACGGTAATGGACCGTTAATTAACATAAACACATTTAGCATCTCCTGGCTTCCACGCATAGCCTACATGCCACAGATGCAGACCTTTGGAACATCTATAAATCAATTTAATATAGCCCACACCATCACAATAAATCCATTATTTTAGACAGGTCTAAAGAAACATGATATGAAGAAAATGTTATATATTTCAGAAGAACAGAATAGCATACTCTGAGTTGTCCTTATGTTAGGCCCTGATCTGGCTATGCCATATGGCTGTGGGCTACACTAGTTCATTTAGCCGACAAGAGTTGCTTAGAATTCTGTGGCATTATTTTATAGTATGAAGAATACAATTGAACTTAGCTGAATAAAATATAAAGGATATTTTCTCCAAACGATTTGAGGGAGTGCGCACATACGGCTATTCTGTGTTGAGCGGTTAACAAAGAAACAGGTCCTCCTATATGCTTCATTTGGAGTTATAAATGCAACTTGATACAAACGTTGGGCTATACAGTATGTTTAGATTTTTTATACATTCTAAGGCTGCATGATGCGACTCTACTGATTATTTGAAAAAAGTTGCATGAAAGGCATGAGCTCTGCTTAGTTTTTTGCACAGGCTGCACACACTTCATCAGTCTCTCATTCACAATTTGATAATGCCTTGAATTTCCCGGCGGCATCCCCTTTGTGTGGCCTTAATGCCCCCTAAAAAAGTCCATGCCTTTTGCGGCCGGTTGCCATTGTGCCCTTGGGCTGAACGTAATAATTATAATTCCATTCTCCCGGCTTCGTGCTCCGAAGCACCTCTCACTCACATGGCTCTCTCAGATATCTCAATTCTTATTAGCCAATGCATGTCACGTGATCGGGGCCTTCTCACAGGCTATAAGTGAAGACAGACACATCGGGAACGCAACTGCTCGCGTCCTTATCGAATTCCGAGGCAAATATTAAAGATGTTGGAAGAACTGTCCACATTTACTTTTCGTCAGCCAACAAGATGAGTAGGCCTAACAAACAGCAAAAGCACTAGCTTATGTGAATCTACTATACCCCCATAGTACAAAAGTTGTCCTATTCTATTGGTCAACTTGTCCTTCTGTGCGAGAAATAAATATTCCAAACATAGTCTGGGACAGTTGTGGGACGCGATAGATCCCAAATTAATACAACCAATAGCATCAACAAAAACTTTTAAAAGCAATGAGGCTGATGCAACAGATCAGAACGTTTAGCTTAAAATGTTGATAAACTATTAGGCTATTTCTTCACATTATAAGCTCAACAATGCGCACACGGCAGTAGGCTATAAGCACGAATGTTCCAAAATGCAATCAATTAGCGAGAAAACACCATTCTCAAAAGTGACCGCAAATGTGATTACAATGATTATGTAATGCTGTATTATAAAGGTGCATTTTTATGGTGAAGATGACCTTCCCTAAACTTGAAACTCACACGCCGCCTATGTATGCCAGTTACGCTCTACACCGGTTGTAAAGCGGATCAATGTACTTAATTTTAACAAGTTATTGGGCCACTATAGTTGTGATACAAACCTTATCAAAACATATAGGCCTATAGGCTAGGCTACATGAGGTGTGCGACTATGATTAGAAAAAGTCGCAAAAAAAGGAATGCGCTGTTTCTTGCCTTACTGCACACAAGCTGGGCATCATTCACAAGTGATAGGCTAACATTGTCACCCATCAGATTATTCTTGATTTAATCGTGTCTTTACATATACTAAATAATATATGTGTGAAAATTTAGAATGGACCATTATCATGCACTTGTCTCGAAACAGGGGCAGGGGAAAAAAATACATGCACTTAAATAGCGAATGGAGGACGCTTTTCCCGTGATTCATTTTTATGCCAGCCAGGTAGGCTATACTCCTTTTGTAAAGACAAGCATTGTGCTTAATATTAGGAAAGTTGAGAAATAAATATAGTAGGCCTAGCCTATAGAAAGCTGATGGGATCCTGCTCTTTTTAATAGAGGCCATCAAAACTCGGTTTTCTCACACAATTGCATAGCCTATAGAAATTGTGTGCAACATGAGATCATGGGCTCTCATGAAGTGTTTGATTAGACTACATTTGCATTGATGTCAGAGTGATTAGAGGGACAATAGAGTGCTGAGTACCAGTCAGTTAGCAAGATTGGTAGGCTACTAATGACCATAAGCAGCATCAGAGCTTGGAGAAGCCTAGTTACGTGACTAAACGGTTATGTGGAATTTGACTGCCGTCATGACTCGTGATCGCTGGTGTGGTGGTAATATGGTCACCGTAACAGCCCTACCCATCACTACTACTGACCTAACATATTTTTGTCATCTTTGTAGTCCCCTGTAGCTCAGTTGGTAGAGCATGGCGCTTGCAACGCCAGGGTTGTGGGTTCGTTTCCCACGGGGGGCCAGTATGAAAATGTATGCACTCACTAACTGTAAGTCGCTATGGTCTGCTAAATTACTAAAATGTAAATGTAAATCAAGCCTTACAAACTAATCCCCCTACTCTAGAAGGGTATCATTGGCCTGGGCTTCCAGTGCACAATAAACACTGACTCACCCAGCAGCCAGAGTGAGATAACTGGCATTAGCATGTTATGGTTTTAATATGTCTGAACACTGAAAAGAAGTGAATCCCTTTCCAGTAAGAGCGTGATCAGCTCTTACCTGATGGGACTGCAGGAGCCGCTGTAGGAGGGGGAGTGGGGTGGGGTCTTGCCCTGACTGCCCAGGCCACCAGAGGCCAGTAGAGAGCTAAGGAGGAGGAGACAACAGTTTAGTGGCTCTAATATACTATTAATAAGAAGTGGGATTGTTCTTAAGCCGTTTTCACATTGGCATTGGGTACATTTCCCAACAGCTTTGTGTATAGGTGCCCACATAAGACCAATCTTAGGGCTGGGAATTGCCAGGGTCCTCACGATACGATATTATCGCGATACTTAGGTGCCAATACGATACGTATTGCGATTCTCACGATTCTATATGTATTGCGATTCGATACTGCGATTTTATTTCAATTTGATGTTCCAAACATATTGCTCTGTATAAGTACAGTGCCTTGCAAAGGTATTCATCCCCCTTGGCGTTTTTCCTATTTTGTTGCATTACAACCTGTAATTTAAATTGATTTTTATTTGTGGTCCTCTGTAGCTCAGCTGGTAGAGCACGGCGCTTGTAACGCCAAGGTAGTGGGTTCGATCCCCGGGACCACCCATACACAAAAAAAAAAAAAAAAAAAATGTATGCACGCATGACTGTAAGTCGCTTTGGATAAAAGCGTCTGCTAAATGGCATATTATTATTATTATTATTTGGATTTCATGTAATGGACATACTCAAAATAGTCCAAATTGGTGAAATGAAATAAAATAAATAACTTGTTTCAAAGAATTATACAAAATAAATAACGGAAAAGTGGTGCGTGCATATGTATTCACCCCCTTTGCTATGAAGCCCCTAAATAAGATCTGGTGCAACCAATTACCTTCAGAAGTCACATAATTAGTTTTAAAAAAGTCCACCTGTGTGCAATCTAAGTGTCACATGATCTCAGTATATCTACACCTGTTCTGAAAGGCCACAGAGTCTGCAACACCACTAAGCAAGGGGCACCACCAAGCAAGTGGCACCATGAAGACCAAGGAGCTCTCCAAACAGGTCAGGGACAAAGTTGTGGAGAAGTATTGGTCTTCACAAAGTTTGCTGCTTCAGTTATGAGATATTTTTGTCAAATGTTACTATGGTATACTGAAGTATAATTACAAGCATTCCATTAGTGTCAAAGGCTTTTATTGACAATTACATTAAGTTTATGCAAAGAGTCAATGTTTGCAGTGTTGACCCTTCTTTTTCAAGACCTCTGCAATCCGCCCTGGCATGGTGTCAATTAACTTCTGGGCCACATCCCGACTGATGGCAGCCCATTCTTGCATAATAAATGCTTGGAGTTTGTCAGAATTTGTGGGTTTTTGTTTGTCCACCCGCCTCTTGAGGATCGACCACAAGTTCTCAATGGGAATAAGGTCTGGGAGTTAATGGCAAGGACCCAACCATTTTTACGATGTTTTTCCCGAGCCACTTACTTATCATTTGCCTTATGGCAAGGTGCTCCATCATGCTAGAAAAGGCATTGTCGTCACAAAACTGTTCTTGGAGGTTAGGAAAAGTTGCTCTCGGCGATGTGTTGTACCCTTCTTTATTCCTGGCTGTGTTCTTATGCAAAAAATGTGAGGTGCGCCCACTCCCTTGGCTGAGCAGGAACCCCACACATGAATGGTCTCAGGATGCTTGTACTGTTGGCATGACACAGATGAGGTAGCGCTCACCTGTCTTCTCCCGACAAGCTTTTTTCCGGATGCCCCAAACAATCGGAAAGGGGATTCATCAGAGATAAATGGACTTTACACCAGTCCTCAGCAGTCCCAATCCCATGTACCTTTTGCACGAATGTCTGTCCCATGATGTTTTTCCCTGGGAGAGAAGTGGCTTCTTTGCTGCCCTTTCTTGACACCAGGCCATCCTCCCAAAAGTCTTCGCCTCACTGGTGTGCAGATGCAATCACACCTGCCTGCTGCCATTCCTGAGCAAGCTCTGCACTGGTGGTGCCCCGATCCCGCAGCTGAATCAACTTTAGGAGACGGTCCTGGCACTTGCTGGACTTCCTTGGGCAACCCTGACGCCTTCTTCACAACAATTGAACCGCTCTCCTTGAAGTTCTTGAGGATCCGATAAATGGTTGATTTAGGTGCAATCTTACAAGCAGCAATATCCTTGCCTGTGAAGCCCTTTTTGTGCAAAGCAATGATGACGGCACGTGTTTCCTTGCAGGTAACCATGGTTAACAGAGGAAGAACAATGATTTCAAGCACCACCCTCCTTTTAAAGCTTCCAGTCTGTTATTCTAACTCAATCAGCATGACAGAGTGATCTCCAGCCTTGTCCTTGTCGACACTCTCACCTGTGTTAACGAGAGAATCACTGACATGATGGCAGCTGGTCCTTTTGTGGCAGGGCTGAAATGCAGTGGAAATGTTTTTTGGGGGATTAAGTTCATTTTAATGCAAAGAGGGACTTTGCAATTAATTGCAATTCATCTGATCACTCTTTATGACATTCTGGAGTATATGCAAATTGCCATCATCAAAACTGAGGCAGCAGACTTTGTGAAAATTAGTATTTGTGTCATTCTCAAAACTTTTGACCACGACTGTACAGATCAGGGTTGGGTTATACAAAAATACCTGAAACTTTGAACATCCCACGGAGCACCATTAAATCCATTAATAAAAAATTGAAAGAATATGGCACCACAACAAACCTGCCAAGAGAGGGCCGCCCACCAAAACTCACGGACCAGGCAAGGAGGGCATTAATCAGAGAGGCAACAAAGAGACCAAAGATAACCCTGAAGGAGCTGCAAAGCTCCACAGCGGAGATGAGAGTATCTGTCCATAGGACCACTTTAAGCCATACACTCCACAGAGCTGGACTTTACGGAAAAGTGGCCAGAAAAAAGCCATTGCTTAAAGAAAAAATAAGCAAACACGTTTGGTGTTCGCCAAAAAGCATGTGGGAGAATCCCCAAACATATGGAAGAAGGTACTCTGGTCAGATTAGACTAAAATTGAGCTTTTTGGCCATCAAGGAAAACGCCTGGCACAAACCCAACACCTCTCATCACTCCGAGAACACCATCCCCACAGTGAAGCATGGTTGTGGCAGCATCATGCTGTGGGGATATTTTTCATCGGCAGGGACTGGGAAATTGGTCAGAATTGAAGGAATGATGGATGGCGCTAAATACAGGGAAATTCTTGAGGGAAACCTGTTTCAATTTTCCCGAGATTTGAGACTGGGAAGGAGGTTCACCTTCCAGCAGGACAATAACCCTAAGCATACTGCTAAAGCAACACTCAAGTGGTTTAAGGGGAAACATTTAAATGTTTTGGAATGGCCTAGTCAAAGCCCAGACCTCAATCCAATTGAGAATCTGTGGTATGACTTAAAGATTGCTGTACACCAGCGGAACCCATCCAACTTGAAGGAGCTGGAGCAGTTTTGCCTTGAAGAATGGGCAAAAATCCCAGTGGCTAGATGTGCCAAGCTTATAGACACATACCCCAAGAGACTTGCAGCTGTAATTGCTGCAAAAGGTGGCTCTACAAAGAATTGACTTTGGGGAGATGAATAGTTATGCACGCTCAAGTTCTGTTTTTTGTCATATTTCTTGTTTGTTTCACAATAAAAAATATTTTACATCTTCAAAGTGGTAGGCATGTTTAATTCCAGGTTGTAAGGCAACAAAATAGGATGTGTGCTGTAGAGAGACAAGAGATAGCATGGGAAAATAAATGTTGATCAGTCATGGACATAAGTGCTGAAAACATGGTTTACTATTTAAAAAGAAGATGGAGAACAAGCTATAGGACGAAAAATACCTGAGTTTTGGCGCATGAATAGCTGAGCTGTAGAAATACAGTACCAGTTAAAAGTTTGGACACCTACTCATTCAAGGGTTTTTCTTTATTTTAAATATGAATAATAGTGAAGACATCAAAACTATGAAATAACACATATGGAATAATTTAGTAACCAAAAAAGTGTTTTAAACAAATCAAAATATATTTTATATTTGAGATTCTTCAAAGTAGCCACCCTTTGCCTTCATGACAGCTTTGCACACTCTTGGCATTCTCTCAACCAGCTTCATAAGGAATGCTTTTCCAACAGTCTTGAAGGAGTTCTCACATATGCTGAGCACTCGTTGGCTGCTTTTCCTTCACTCTGCGGTCTAACTCAACCCAAACCATCTCAATTGGGTTGAGGTCGGGTGATTGTGGAGGCCAGGTCATCTGATTCAGCACTCCATCACTCTCCTTCTTGGTCAAATAGGTATGGGCAGGTATAAGCCACGGACAACGAACACAATTACATTTTATCGATGGCAATTTGAATGCACAGAGATACTGTGACAAGATCCTGAGGGCCATTATCCTACCATTCATCTGCCGCCATCACCTGATGTTTCAGCATGATCATGCACAGCCCCATGTTGCAAGGATCTGTAGACAATTCCTGGAAGCTGAAAATGTCCCAGTTCTTCCATGGCCTGCATACTCACCAGACATGTCACCCATTGAGCATGTTTGGAATGCTCTGGGAACGACGTGTACGACTGCGTGTTCCAGTTCCAGCCAATATCCAGCAACTTCGCATAGCCATCGATGAGGACTGGGACAACATTCCACAGGCCACAATCAACAGCCTGATCAACTCTATTCGAAGATGTGTTGCGCTGCATGAGGAAAATGGTGGTCACACCAGATACTGAGTGGTTTTCTGATCCACGCCCCTACCTTTTTAAAAAGTATCTATGACCAACAGATGCATATCTGTATTCCCAGTCATGTGAAATCCATAGATTAGGGCCAAATGAATTTATTTCAATTGACTGATTTCCTTATATGAACTGTAACTCAGTAAAATCTTTGAAATTGTTGCATATTGCGTTTATATTTTCGTTCACAGTGTAATATCATCCTAAATAATATCAGGATTTGTAACTGTATTGATTTTTGCCCCATCACTAAAGACCATGTCCACTAAACTCACCCGCTGTTCATCAGACTGTCGTGGAACACCTTCCCAGTAGGTTCCTCACAGGTGAGCTCACCTGCTGAGAAACCATGGCAACACGTCAAAGAGGAATGACCATACAGCCAAACGAATGAACCTCAGAATCATCTCAGAAATTGGACTACACTGCTATTATACATTCAGAAAGAAAGTGATCTAAACAACTTCTCTCACAATCTCTGGATTGTATACACATGACAGACTGAAGCGCTACAAGAACACCACTTCGTGGTTGAGGAATGAGGATGCGCTTACTGGGAAAGTGGACGGGCACCATGACAAAGTCATCCGTGTCACAAGAAGAGTTCTTGCTGCTGCAGCCCCCTCCAGACGAGTCCTTGAGGAGAAAGCCAGGGGCATCCTGGGTAGGGGAGGCAAGGGTCTTGGCGTGGAGCTGCTGGACCTCAGCCAGGGACTGCTGGAGAGAGAGAGGAGAGAGTAACTATGACCACAGCACTGACCCTGAACAACCCACTATATCAAATCAAATTTTATTTGCCAAGTGCCAAATACAACAGGTGAAATGCTTACTTACAAGCCCTTAACCAACAATGCAGTTTTTAAGAAGAAAAAAAAAGTGATAAGTAAATAATTGCAAATAATTAAAGAGCAGCAGTAAAATAAAATAACAGTAGTGTTAAACAAATCAAAATATATGTTATATTTGAGATTCTTCAAAGTAGCCACACTTTGCCTTAATGACAGCTTTGCACACTCTTGGCATTCTCTCAACCAGCTTCATGAGGTAGTCACCTGGAATGCATTTCAATTAACAGGTGTGCCATGTCAAAAGTTAATTTGATCATTCAGCTTTGATCATTTGAATCAGGTGTGTAGTGCTAGGGCAAAAACTACAAAGTGCACCCCTTTGGGTCCCCAGGACCAGGATTAAAAAACACTGGAATAGACAAAAAGCCCTATACCACCTAACAAACCCAAGACTGAACGTACACTGAGCTGTGTGACATTGGACACATCAACAGTAGCTCTGGAGAGTCCCCTGCAGATTACAGACCCATTTGTTTAATAAATTGCAACAATAAAATAATAACAAAACTCATAAGCAACAGAATGGCAAAAGTATTACCAGACTTGATACATATTAATGAAACAGGGTTTATTAAAAATAGACACTTACAAAGAAATACAATAACTTGTTTTAGTATAATACAATACGCAACAAAACAAGATGTTGATTTATCAATAATGGCTGTTGATGCCGAAAAGGCTTTCGACCATCTTGAGTGGGCTTTTCTATTCAGAACTTTGGTAGCATTCAACTTTCCAGCTGAAATAATACATTTCATAAAAGTATTATATAAATATCCTAAAGCAAAGATATACACTGTGTATACAAAACATTAAGAATACCTGCTTTTTCCATTACATACTGTAGACTGACCAGGTGAATCCAGGTGAAAGCTATGATCCCTTATTGATGTCACTTGTTAAATCCACTTCAATCAGTGTAGAGGGTGGCTCTAGATGTAGAGATGGCGCCGGAGAAGATGGCTGCCGTTTTACAGCCCTCTAACCAATTGTACTATTATGTGTGTTTTTTCGCGTTATTTGTAATTTATTCTGTACATAATGTTTCTGCCACCGTCTCTTATAACCAAAAAGAGTTTCTGGATATCAGGACAGCGATTACTCACCTCGTATTGGACAAAGATTGTTTTCTTCAACGAGTCGGACACGAAGGATATCCTACAGACACCCGACAAGGCCCAAATCCCCGTCATTCGCAGGAGAAAGAGACGGAGATATCGTGGACGTAGATCGGGGTGCCTTGTAAGGATCCGACGGCGAGCGAGTAAACTGCCTCTTCCATCAATCCTATTAGCCAATCTTCAATCATTTGAAAATAAATTAGATGACCTAAGATTACGGTTATCCTACGAACGGGACATTAAAAACTGTAATATCTTATGTTTCACCAAGTCATGGCTGAACGACGACATGGATAACATACAGCTAGCGGGCTATACGCTACATCGGCAGGATAGAACAGCTGACACCGGTAAGACAAGTGGTGGCAGTCTGTGTATATTTGTAAACAACAGCTGGTGCATAAAATCAAATACTAAGGAAGTCTCAAGGTTTTGCTCGCCTGAGGTAGAGTATCTTATGATAAGCTGTAGACCACACTATTTACCAAGAGACAACACGGGGGCCCCTCAGGGGTGCGTGCTCAGTCCCCACCTGTACTCCATGTTCACCCATGACTGCATGGCCAGGCACGACTCCAACACCATCATTAAGTTAGCCGACGACACAACAGTGGTAGGCCTGATCACCGACAACGATGAGACAGCCTATAGGGAGGAGGTCAGAGACCTGGCTGTGTGGTGCCAGGATAACAACCTCTCCCTCAACGTGACCAAGACAAAGGAGATGATTGTGGACTACAGGAAAAAAAAGAGGACTGAGCACGCCCCCATTCTCATCGACGGGGCTGTAGTGGAACAGGTTGAGAGCTTCAAGTTCCTTGGTGTCCACATCACCAACAAACTATCATGGTCCAAACACACCAAGACAGTCTTGAAGAGGGCACGACAAAGCCTATTCCCCCTCAGGAGACTGAAAAGATTTGGCATGGGTCCTCAGATCCTCAAAAAGTTATACAGCTGCACCATCGAGAGCATCCTGACTGGTTGCATCACCGCCTGGTATGGCAACTGCTCGGCCTCCGACCGCAAGGCACTACAGAGGGTAGTGCGTACGGCCCAGTACATCACTGGGGCCAAGCTTCCCGCCATCCATGACCTCTATACCAGGCGGTGTCAGAGGAAGGCCCTAAAAATTGTCAAAGACTCCAGCCACCCTAGTCATAGACTGTTCTCTCTGCTACCGCACGGCAAGCGGTACCGGAGCACCAAGTCTAGGTCCAAAAGGCTTCTCAACAGCTTCTACCCCCAAGCCATAAGACTCCTGAACAGCTAATCATGGCTAACCGGACTATTTGCACTGCCCCCCACCCCCACCCCATCTTTTTACACTGCTGCTACTGTTAATTATTTATGCATGTTTTATAAAAAAATTAATGCATTGTTGGTTAAGGGCTGTAAGTAAGCATTTCACTGTAATGTCTACACCTGTTGTATTCGGCACATGTAGCAAATACAATTTGATTTGATTTGAGATGAAGGGGAGGAGACAAGTTAAAGAAGGATTTTTAAGCCTTGAGACAATTGAGACATGGATTATGTATGTTTGCCATTCAGAGGGTAAATGGGTAAGACAAAATATTTAAGTGCCTTTTAATTGGGTGGTAGTAGGTGCCAAGTGCACCGGGTTGTGTCAAGAACTGCAACGCTGCTGGGTTTTTCATGCTCAACAGTTTCCTGTGTGTATCAAGAATGGTCCTCTCCACCCAAAGGACATCCAGCCAACTTGACACAAATGTGGAAAGCATTGGTCAGCTTGGGCCAGCATCCCTGTGGAACGCTTTCGACACCTTGTAGAATCCATGCCCCGACGAATTGAGGCTGTTCTGAAGGCAAAAGGGGTGGGGGGAGGGGGGCAACTCAATATAAGGAAGGTGTTCCTAATGTTTTGTACACTCAGTTTATAAGCATGTATACATTAACACACACACACTCACCGGTGGGGAGGCCAAATGTGAGGTGGAAGAGCTGCTACAGGAGCTGGCTGAAGCAGAGCTGGGAAAGCATGTCATGGTCACAGCAGGAGCTGTATCAAAGAAAAATATCAATATAAATTCTCAAAATAATAAACCAATTCATTAATTTCTCAGACTTTCCTCTTCATATGATAGATTGGTTTGGATGTTTCAATTAGGGATGAGTAGATGGATGTTACTCACTCTTCTTCATGGACGAACTCGTCTCCAGGAAGGGGTGATGGAAGAACTCCTCTACAATGAAAAGAGAAAAAGATTGAAAGTGAGGAACTTGCTACCCTATCAATTTTAAATATCTCTTAAATAATGAGCACTGGTATGACCACTGTGAGTGTGGCCCCACTGACCAAAGTCCATGCGGTCGTTGTGGTTGCGCTGCAGAAGACCTAGCAGCAGGTGCCTCAGGTGACAGGAGGTCTCTCTGGGGATGCTGGGAGGGGAGACACACAAGTCACCATGAATGCATGATGGTACTTTACACTTAATTCCTGTTGTAACAATTGATCGGGGGCCTGTTTTGCATTTCCCCATAAATGGTTAATGTTAGGATTGTGGTAGCTGATCCTAAATCAAATGTTAAAAGCAGTGCGTGAGAGTATGATAATCATAAGTCGTTTGTAACATATCCTGTGGTCAAATCCGGTCTATCACATCATTAGTTCATTAACATGGAAGCACCATTCAAGACACATAATCTCATGTGAAAGGAATCTGTACTCTCTATCTCTAAAAACACACACACTACTAGAGCTGATCAACACTAACTTGGGGCTGAGGTTCTTGTTTTTCTCATAAAACAGCCGGAGGTCCTGGGGACTGCTAGCCTGTGGGTAGCACACACAGACACATACACAGAAACAGAACAAATCAACCGTGCAAACTTGAGTGTTTGCATGCACACAAATTAGTTTCAAAGGGAATGTAAAGATTTGAAGAGGAAACACAGTCAGCTGAACCTGTCTGGACAGTTTGGGTAACTTGATTTCCTAAGAGCCTTAGGAAAGGATGGATAAATAGTCTTGTTGTTTTAACTCTAGCTAGTCTACAGATTGCCATCTCTCACATTATGTGGAGAGAAAAGCCGGTCTGTTCGGCTAAGTCTAAGAGAAAACCAAAGCTGATTGCTGCCATGCCAGTCTTAAATATTGCATGGCAAGTCAAAAACAAACTGTGGAAATGACTTTCTATCTCTCTCCCTCTCTCGCTGAATGACCCCTTTCTGTATTGAGTGGATTCATTTTAACTATTCAAACAACCTCCCTTTGATTAACCCTTTGAGTTGGGTATATCTGGGTATGATTGAGTCCTATATCATGGGGACTATGCTACTCACCTGAAACGGTGCTTTCCCAGTCAGACATTGGAATAAAATGGTTCCAATGCTCCACAGGTCAGCCTTGGCATCATAGTTCTGAGACATGATGACTTCAGGTGCCTGGTAGATACGGGGAAACATTTCAGAGTTGCACACATGACACATGTCAGACATGGTACCTGACCATAGGCAGTTTGAGAGTGTCTAAGGAACTAGAGATGCTCACCATGTACATAGGGGACCCACACAGAGTGGCAGCCAACATGTTGTTCTGAAGGTACCGGGCAAACCCAAAGTCAGCTGGAGAGAGGGATAGAAGAAGGACAGGGGGGGGGGGGGTAAAAAAGAAGATGAGTTAGCAATGTACAAGTGGAGACTACAGCTGTGCACTCAGATACTCAGCAAAACCTTGCTGCGATCACAAAATGTTTGCAATGAGCGGGAAAAGTAATACCTGCAGGGAACGACTGAAGAGGTTACTGTGGAGAGAGGACTCAATTGATATTCCACTGAGCCACCAAGAGGACCAGTGACTGGAAGTTTTGTCAGAGATTTTTGAAACCTGCCATCTTACTCTTAATTGACAGGCACTCTAACACCTTTAAATTATACTAGTAACGGTCTGTCATCCTACTTCAGAATATCACATAGCCACAGGGAAAAGCAAATCACCAGTGTTAGTTAAAAAGGCTAACATTCAAGATCAATGGGCAATGAGAAATATCCACACAAAAACAAATCTCATCATCACTACTAACTAACTACAGTGTTGCACTGTTAACAGCCTTTCAAAGTGAGCGATCCACACACACACACACACACACACACACACACAACTGTTTAAAGATGCACTATGCAGAAATCGCTCCGCCATTTCCTGGTTGCTAAAATTCAAATAGTTTGCCTAACTTCAGTTTGTGAAAAAACAAGCAAGTATAGTGTAGAGAATCAATGCACCATCTAAACCGCTGTGAAATATATTTTCCATAACCAATAATATTGTATTTTCAGCTATTTGAAACTGGTGTACAAAACCGAAAGTAAAAGAGGCAAAAAATACACTTTCAAATGGGAAGCATAGAAATAGTGCACATAGAACATATCTACCACTTCTTAGACTTGGTTTCAATGAGAAAGACTGATATATAACTCACATTTTATATGTGAATTTTGTAGGGTCGCCCAAAAAGTTACATATTGCAGCTTTAAATGGGCTTGAGAGGGATTCATATGAGTGAGTTTTAAACACATACAGAACACTGCTCTTTAGTCTTCAGCCCTGCACTAATTCATTCTTCACACAATGGTGATTATCAGCTATTACATGGGTATCAATTAATTCTGTGGAAAGATGGAACTCTTGTCGCTATAATTTATATAACGCATTACAGTGCACGTGCATGCACCCACACGCACAGTGTATTCGGAAAGTATTCTGACCCCTTGACTTTTTCCACATTTTGTTACGTTACAGCCTTATTCTGAAATTGATTAAATTGTTTTTTTTCTCCTCATCCATCTACACACAATGCTCCATAATGACAAAGTAAAAACAGGTTTTTAGAAATATTTGCAAATGTATTAAAAATAAAAAACTGAAATATCACATTTACATAAGTATTCAGACCCTTTACTCAATACTTTGTTGAAGTACCTTTGGCAGTGATTACGGCCTTGAGTCTTCTTGGGTATGATGCTACAAGCTTGGCACACATGTATTTGGGGAGTTTCTCACATTCTTCTTTGCAGATCCTCTCAATCTCTGTCAGGTTGGATGGGGAGCGTCGCTGCACAGCTATTTTCAGATCTCTCCAGAGATGTTCGATTGGGTTCAAGTCCGGGCTCTGGCTGGGCCACTCAAGGACATTCAGAGACTTGTCCCGAAGCCACTCCTGCATTATCTTAGCTGTGTGCTTAGGGTCGTTGTTTTGTTGGAAGGTGAACCTTTGTAGGGAGTAGCTTCGGGACAAGTCTCTGAATGTCCTTGAGTGGCCCAGCCAGAGAAGAATGGGAGAAACTCCCCAAATACAGTGAGGGAAAAAAGTATTTGATCCCCTGCTGATTTTGTACGTTTGCCCACTGACAAAGAAATTATAATTTTAATGGTAGGTTTATTTGAACAGTGAGAGACAGAATAACAACAACAAAATCCAGAAATACGCATGTCAAAAATGTTATAAATTGATTTGCATTTTAATGAGTGAAATAAGTATTTGACCCCTCTGCAAAACATGACTTGTTGGCAACCACAGAGGTCAGACTTTTCTTGTAGTTGGCCACCAGGTTTGCACACATCTCACGAGGGATTTTTTCCCACTCATCTTCTCCAAGTCATTAAGGTTTCGAGGCTGACGTTTGGCAACTCGAACCTTCAGCTCCCTCCACAGATTTTCTATGGGATTAAGGTCTGGAGACTGGCTAGGCCACTCCAGGACCTTAATGTGCTTCTTCTTGAGCCACTCCTTTGTTGCCTTGGCCGTGTGTTTTGGGTCATTGTCATGCTGGAATACCCATCCACGGCCCATTTTCAATGCCCCGGCTGAGGGAAGGAGGTTCTCACCCAAGATTTGACGGTACATGGCCCCGTCCATCGTCCCTTTGATGCGGTGAAGTTGTCCTGTCCCCTTAGCAGAAAAACACCCCAAAGCATAATGTTTCCACCTCCATGTTTGACGGTGGGGATGGTGTTCTTGGGGTCATAGGCATCATTCCTCCTCCTCCAAACACGGCGAGTTGAGTTGATGCCAAAGAGCTCCATTTTGGTCTCATCTGACCACAACACTTTCACCCAGTTCTCCTCTGAATCATTCAGATGTTCATTGGCAAACTTCAGACGGGCATGTATATGTGCTTTCTTGAGCAGGATATCAGTCCTTCACGGTGTGGTGTGTTACCAATTGTTTTCTTGGTGACTATGGTCCCAGCTGCCTTGAGATCATTGACAAGATCCTCCCGTGTAGTTCTGGGCTGATTCCTCACCGTTCTCATGATCATTGCAACTCCACGAGGTGAGATCTTGCATGGAACCCCAGGCTGAGGGAGATTGACAGTTATTTTGTGTTTCTTCCATTTGCGAATAATCGCACCAACTGTTGTCACCTTCTCACCAAGCTGCTTGGCGATGGTCTTGTAGCCCATTCCAGCCTTGTGTAGGTCTACAATCTTGTCCCTGACATCCTTGGAGAGCTCTTTGTTCTTGGCCATGGTGGAGAGTTTGGAATCTGATTGATTGTTTGCTTCTGTGGACAGGTGTCTTTTATACAGGTAACAAGCTGAGATTAAGAGCACTCCCTTTAAGAGTGTGCTCCTAATCTCAGCTCGTTACCTGTATAAAAGACACCTGGGAGCCAGAAATCTTTCTGATTGAGAGGGGGTCAAATACTTATTTCCCTCATTAAAATGCAAATCAATTTATAACATTTTTGACATGCGTTTTTCTGGATTTTTTTGTTTGTTATTCTGTCTCTCACTGTTCAAATAAACCTACCATTAAAATTATAGACTGATCATTTCTTTGTCAGTGGGCAAACGTACAAGATCAGCAAGGGATCAAATACCTTATTTATGTACAGTGAGGGAAAAAAGTATTTATGTTTTTGTTTTTTTTATACATTTGCAAGAAATTCTAAAAACCAGTTTTTACTTTGTCATTATGGGGTATTGTGTGTAGATTAATGAGATGTAAAAAACAAAATAATCAATTTTTGAATAAGGCTGTAACGTAACAAAATGTGGAACAAGTCTAGGGGTCTGAATACTTTCCGAATGCACTGCACACACACACACACACACACCTATCTTGATGCAGGTGTTGGTGGAGTGGGACTTGCGTCCTGCGGGGTAGGAGAGCAGGATGTTCTGGGGTTTGAGGTCTCTGTGGATGATATCCTTGGCCTGCAGCACCCTCATGGCTCCGGCTATCTGCTGCAGAAACACCCGGATGGTGTCCTCGCTCAGGGTGCCCTTGGCTAGGGGAGAAACAGGGGTGGAGGGGTGGGACAGGACAGCCGATAAGGGAAAATAAAATCTGTATTTAACTATAAAAACGATGTAAATTACTTTCTTTTTGGTGTCATTTGACCCCCCCCCCCAACAATTTCAAAGATTTTACTGAGTTAAAGTTCATATAAGGAAATCAGTCAATTGAAATAAATAAATTAGGCCCTAATCTATGGATTTCACATGACTGGGCAGGTGCGCAGCCATGGGCGGGTCTGGGAGGGCATAGGCCCAACCACTTCGGAGCCAGGCCCACCCACTGGGGAGCCAGGCCCAGCGAATCAGAATACATTTTTCCCAACATAAGGGCTTTATTACAGACAGAAATACTCCTCAGTTTCATCAGCTGTCCGGGAGGCTGGTCTCAGACGATCCCGTAGGTGAAGAAGCCGGATGTGGAGGTCCTGAGATGGCGTGGTTACACGTGGTCTGCGGTTGTGAGGCCGGTTAGACGTACTACCAAAACTACTTAAAACTCCGTTGGAGGCGGCTTATGGTAGAGAAATTAACATTAAATTATCTGGCAACAGCTCTGGTGGACATTCCTGCAGTCAGCATGCCAATTGTACGCTCCCTCAAAACTTGAGACAGCTGTGGCATTGTGTTGTGTGACAAAACTGCACATTTTAGGGTGGCCTTTTATTGTCCCCAGTACAAGGTGCACCTGTGTAATGATCATGCTGTTTAATCAGCTTCTTGATATGCCACACCTATCAGGTGGATGGATAATCTTGGCAAAGTAGAAATGCTCAGTAACAGGGATGTAAAAAAAGTGTGCACAAAATTTGAGAGAAATTATATTTTTGTGCGTATGGAATATTTCGGGGATCTTTTATTTCAGCTCATGAAACATGGGATCAACACTTTACATGTTGCGTTTATATATTTTTCAGTATAAATCACAATGGATTAGTTTCCAACTGAGTTAGAGCACTGTCCTTAGCTAGCTAGCTATCTAGTAGAGTATGTTGTGCTAGCTAGTGAATATGCTAACATTAGCTAGCTAGCTAAACATTTGGTAATGGGCTAGCACTGGCAGTATGGAATTATGGAGTGAATTAAATTGTCTCTTCGTCATTTTGCCATGTAGTTATCTAGCAGTGGCCATCTGGCTAGTCTCAACAAGGGCTTTCTACAAAATAGCAACAATAGTGCAGCTAGCTAGCTAGCCAACATTGGAATCTAGACCATAAACTAAGCAACACATATGGACATGCATTGCCAAACAACGTTACTACCACCTTCTGGTTTGGAGTATTTTAACAAAGCTTTGTGGCTAACGAGGTCAAGGTCTTTGTTGTATGAACACAAAAGAGATTGACTGCTGACACTCTGTTCAGAGGTGCTAATTATCCTTGGCTGGCGAATGGTAGACAATCCTATGTGTGTCCCCTGCTTTATTATTTTGAATGCTAGAAAGTGAAAGAAAGTATTTCATATATTGTATAGATCAATAAAAACAAAAGCTATTCAAATACCTATTTATTTTACTAGTATAATGTGTCATTGGTGTTACCGCCTTGAAAATCACTCATTACAAAGATATACAAGGACCTTGAGGATTCTCTCCAGTGGCAAACTGTTATTGGGGGAGGGATCTACACTGTTTGTATTGTTTGGCAATACAAACAGTGTAGCTACTCACTCCGCAAGGCAATTAAACTGGCAAAACATCAGTATAGAGACAAAGTGGAGTAGCAATTCAACGGCTCAGACACGAGACGTATGTGGCAGGGTATACAGACAATCACGGACTACAAAAGGAAAACCAGCCACCGACGTTTCGCTTCGAGACAAGCTAAACACCTTCTTCGCCTGCTTTGAGGATAACACAGTGCCACCGACGAGGCCCACTACCAAGGACTGTGGCATCTCCTTCTCCGTGGCCGACATGAGTAAGACATTTAAGCATGTTAATCCCCGCAAGGCTGCTGGCCCAGACGGCATCCCTAGCCGTGTCCTCAGAGCATGCGCAGACCAGCTGGCTGGTGTGTTTACGGATATATTCAATCTCTCCCTTTCCCAGTCTGCTGTTCCCACATGCTTCAAGATGGCCACCATTGTTCCTGTACCCAAGAAAGCAAAGGTAACTGAACTAAATGACTATCGCCCCGTAGCACTCACCTCTGTCATCATGAAGTGCTTTGAGAGACTAGTCAAGGATCATATCACATCTACCTTACCTGTCACCCTAGACCCACTTCAATTTGCTTACCGCCCCAATAGATCCACAGACGATGCAATCGACATCACACTGCCCTATCCCATCTGGACAAGAGGAATAGCTATGTAAGAATGCTGTTCATTGACGATAGCTCAGCATTCAACACCATAGTACCCTCCAAGCTCATCATTAAGCTCGAGGCCCTGGGTCTGAACCCCGCCCTGTGCAACTGGGTCCTGGACTTCCTGAGAGTAGGAAACAACATCTCCACTTCGCTGATCCTCAACACTGGAGCCCCACAAGGGTGCGTTCTCAGCCCCCTCCTGTACTCCCTGTTCACCCATGACTGCGTGGCCAAGCACGCCTCCAACTCAATCATCAAGTTTGCAGACGACACAACAGTAGTAGCCTTGATTACCAACAATGACGAGACCGCCTACAGGGAGGAGGTGAGGGCTCTGGGAGTGTGGTGCCAGGAAAATAAACTCTCAGTCAACGTCAACAAAACAAAGGAGATGATCGTGGACTTCAGGAAACAGCAGAGGGTGCACCCCCCTATCCACATCGACAGGACCGCAGTGGAGAAGGTGGAAAGCTTCAAGTTCCTTGGTGTCCACATCACTGCCAAACTGAAATGGTCCACCCACGCATATAGTGTGGTGAAGAAGGCGCAACAGAGCCTCTTCAACCTCAGGAGGCTGAAGAAATTTGGCTTGGCACCTAAAACCCTCACAAACTTTTACAGATGCACAATTGAGAGCATCCTGTCGGGCTGTATCACCGCCTGGTATGGCAACTGCACTGCCCGCAACCGCAGGGCTCTCCAGAGGGTGGTGCGGTCTGCCGAACGCATTACCGGGGGCAAACTACCCGCCCTCCAAGACACATACAGCACCCGATGTCACAGGAAGGCCAAAAAGATCATCAAGGACATCAACCACCCGAGCCACTGCTTGTTCACTCCGCTATCATCCAGAAGGCGAGGTCAGTACAGGTGCATCAAAGCTGGGACCAAGAGAATGAAAAACAGCTTCTATCTCAAGGCCATCAGACTGTTAAATAGCCATCACTAGCACATTAGAGGCTGCTGCTGCCTATTGAAATCACTGGCCACTTTAATAATGATTACATATCTTGCACTACTCATCTCATATGTATATACTGTATTCTATTCTATAATATTCTACTGCATCTTAGTCCATGCCACTCTGTCATTGCTTGTCCATATATGTATATATTCTTAAATTCCATTACTTACTAGATTTGTGTGTATTGGGTATATGTTGTGAAATTGTTAGATATTACTTGTTAGATATTACTGCACTGTCGGAGCTAGAAGCACAAGCATTTCGCTACACCCGCAATAACATCTGCTAAACACGTGTATGTGATAAATAAAATTAGATTTGATTTGATTTTTATACTAAAAAATATTATTAGCTAATCACACCCTTTTAGTATCTCATAAATTGTAGGATTCCATTGATCATTTGGTGTGTCTAAATCCAAAGTGACACTTGGTGTTACTCAATTTAAATGAAGGGAAATAACATTGTGAGCAAAATGATTAATCATATCACTTTAGTAAATTATTTTTAAAGGATTAATGACCTTTGAACATTTGAAGCCTCCATTTCAGAAAATTCTCACTTACCTACAACTTCTCATTGGTGTTACTACTCCTACTGGCAGCACAGTGTTATCATAATGGTAGATATTATTTGAAGTCATTGAGCTACCATACTAGTTGATTTAGAATGGGAAGATGACAGTTCATTTTTTCCCAAAATGCCCAAATGCCACCTTAATTCAAGAACGATCCGAGAGCTTCGCTGGCCTTTTGACAGATGAAACAGTCCACTTACAGTGCAGATAGTCCGCCAGGTCCCCACCATTGCAGTACTAGAGAGAGAGGGAGATAAAAGAGAACGACATTAGGAGACATTTGGAAAGTATTCAGACCCCTTCCCCTTTTCCACATTTTGTTACGTTACAGCCTTATTCTAAAATTGATTAAAAAATAAATAAATCCTCATCAATCTACACATAATGACAAAGCAAAAACAGGTTTTTAGAAATGTTTGCAAATACATTACAAATAAAAAACAGAAATACCTTATTTACATAAGTATTCAGACCCTTTGCTATTCCACAAAATGTGGAAAAAGTCAAGGGGTCTGAATACTTTCCGAATGCACTGTATACAATCAGTAGAGAGCAATACACACTGAGGTTGAATAATTGAAGAAACACAAGTGTAAAACACCACCCTCAATCAGATAGGGATTGATACATAATACTCCTCACTAAAGTGTGTGTGTGTGTGAGGGGTGGCGCGTAACTGACTGACGCTGATGGTTTAGCATTAATATGAATGAAGCCTGCTCATTGGGTGGGGTAAGTTTGGACAACAGGAGGTCCTTTGACTCCTTTGTGCACCCCTGAAAGGTATCATTTCCCTCTGTAAAGTCCCCTTTACAGACCTACTCATGTCTCCTTTTCACCTCATTTAACACTGATTTACAGAAGTCACATCTCAATAAGTGGTCCAGGTATGACATGACAGTGGGGGGTGGGACATTCCTCTTTTGTCGTCAATTGCTCCTCTATTGTTCCAGCAAGCTAGGGGGAGGCCAATGATATCACATCTGACCATCAGACCAACTCCTTGAATGCGGTTGTACACACACTTAAACATTTATTTCAAAACATATTTTTAAGTGTGTGTACATTATTTACACTTGGGATATCAATTTTCAACAGGATATTTGTTTTTAAACAATCACCGAAGAACACAGGTAAGTGGGGTTCAGCAGGAAACAAGTCCCTTTTAACTTGTTAAACTACTATTATTATCTATGCATAGTCACTTTAACTCTACCTACATGTACATATTACCTCGACTAACCTGTGCCCCCGCACATTGACTCTGTACCGGTACCCCCCTGTATATAGCCTCGCTACTGTTATTTTACTGCTGCTCTTTAATTATTTGTATTTTTTACTTATCTATTTTTTACTTAACACTTATTTTTCTTAAAACTGCATTGTTGGTTAAGGGCTTGTAAGTAAGCATTTCACTGTAAGGTCTACACCTGTTGTATTCGGCGCATGTGACAAATAACATTTGATTTGATTTGAAAACCGGAGAAAATAAAACAAGTGCTTTCTGGTCACTATTCTGCATATGTGCCTTTGCGCGCCAATGCTGATGACTGGTCATTTGTCAACAGTCTAGACGCACAACATTTTGGATCTGAAGCACATTACCTCCCGAGTGGCGCAGTGGTCTAAGGCACTGCATCGCAGTGCTAGCTGTGCCACTAGAGATCCTGGTTCGAATCCAGGCTCTGTCGTAGCCGGCCGCGACCGGGAGACCCATGGGGCGGCGCACAATTGGCCTAGCGTCGTCCAGGGTAGGGGAGGGAATGGCCGGCAGGGATGTAGCTCAGTTGGTAGAGCATGGTGTTTGCAACGCCAGGGTTGTGGGTTTGAAAAATTCAAAAAATAATGTATGCACTAACTGTAAGTCGCTCTGGATAAGCGCGTCTGCTAAATGACTAAAATGTAAAATGTAAATATTATACGTTTTTGAGAAAATAATTTGGTGCAATACCATAGGCCTATGTTAGTGACCAAATTGAATAGGCAAAGATATAAATATAAAATAAAAATGGTATATGTAGCCTATTAAAATATATATTAAAAATATGTATTTTTCCCATTCAGCGTCACACTTGCGACCCCCCCCCCCCCCCCCCCCCACAAAAAAAAAACAACTTCTTGCAACCGGCAGTTTGAGAACCACTGAGTTAGAGCAGGAGTGTGTGTGTTGAACCTGAAACCAAAACAAGGGCTAAAGACAGAAATGACAACAGAAGCTTACCTCCATGACCAGGTACACAGAACTTGCCGTTTCCTAGAGAGAGACAAACAAACACAAGTCAGAGCTGTGGCAGAAGACAAAAGAAAGAGAAAAACACCAATACCGGTGTCTGGGGTTTTAGCATGTCAACACTAACACACTAACAATAGAAACGTTGTTACTGTGTGTTATGGAGCAGGAGGTGTTGAAGGCACATACATACTTGCGCTTGGTGACATAACTAGATGGTTACTGTTTCACTGAAGTACGAAAGGTAAATTAAAAGAGATGACTACTGTGAACAGGGACACTTGTAGAGAAGGATATTTTCAGTCAGAAGTTGATGTTAGTCAAATAAAAGTCTACCTCACTGAAACTTATGTTCCATCTTATTTGACAAAATCCACTATAATGACTACTGACCTTTCAAGTGGTTTGAGCTCAACCCAGAGGTAAAGAATTAATGACACGTTGCTACTCGCTAGCCTAATTCTCTGGGTCATCCATGCTGAGTTAACAGGGTTAAGGTATGGGCCATGTCTGCTCGGAGGTCACAGAGGCTAATGCAGAACAGGGGTGGTCGAGAGGTCACAAAACCTCCCCCTGTTGTGACAGCTAAAGTGTGAACTAGGCCAAAGCTAAAGGAATTGTCTGAGTCTTCACACTCATTCAGCTAAATGTAAAGAGGATCAATATCAGGGTTCTCTACTACTGCTGCCGCTGCTGCCTTCAGCACAAGAACCACAACAATAGAACTGAGCTCATCGTACAACATATTGAGAGCAAGGATTAGGCCACAGAGCCATATCAAGAGCAAACAACATGGGGGGTGCATGACAAACAAACAGCAAGTTGGCATGTCAGGCTGAGTGTGCATTACAACTAATTGGATTTTGTGTGTGTGGGGGGGGGGGGGGGGGGGGCTCGACTTGGCTGACAAAGGCAATATATTGGACCACCAGGGAGGTTTCACTGTTAAAGAGAGGGTACAAGTCTGTTGTCTGAAACCACAACAAATGTTCTTCGAGAGAGAGCACAAACAAACAATTAGAGTCATACGCCCGAGTCACGCCGTATTATGCCAACCTCAGTAGCTTGGCTGCTTTTTGCCACTGAAAACATTACTGAGCTCAGATGGGCATTACTGAGCCTAATTTTTACCAACAGCATGTCAGCCATGGCACAGGCCTTACAAAAACAAGACAGTGCAGCCCACTAGAAAAATCCATCACATAGCAACAGATGACTCTGCTCTTTCTCCCTCTCTAGGTCTCTTTCAACAGCCAATCTGAGTAATGGCTCATCCCAGAGTTAACTACTGCTGAGTCAGCGCTTCTGAAGTTGTCTTTTTGGCCATGTTGGAGATTGCAGCAGCAAGCCAGCCACCTGGTTTCCATTGTGCTTTGCCAGACAGGCAGGGCCAGACATACTTGTTTACCCGAGGTGGTTTTGGCTTACTGACCTGGTAACATCTCCCGTTTATGACAACCAGCCTATAACAGAGCACCAACAGTGTCAGCTGTGTAAAATCATGCAGCGCTCCTCCCCAATGCTACGTGCCCAGAGAAGTGTAGGCCTACATGCCAGCCTGGGAGGTGATAAGACTGCCCTGCTCTAAAATCCTGCAGGGGCTGAGATACACAAGATAATAGGGCATATTAACACTTTAGTGATTGATAGAGCTCACCAGATGGAGTGTAGAGTAGGACAATACACTACCCCTCCAATTGGACCCTTTCCAACTAGGTCTCAAACTGTTTGCCAACAAAGTAGGCCTCATGACTTTGGTTAGCTTCCCGTTACACAACCACTGTTACCCTAGCCTAGTTCGTACCCTTGCAAGAGTTTGAGTACTCAAAGTTAACAGTGTTAGGGCTGTCCCTGACCAAGTAGTCTATTCTTTCGACCAATCGATTGGTTGAAATTTTAAAACGTGTATTTTTCCATATACAGTCCTTCTGGAAAGTATTCAGACCCCTTCACTTTTTCCACATTTTGTTAAGTTACAGCCTTATTCTAAAATGGATTAAATAAAAAAAAGTCCTCATCAATCTACACATATTATCCCATTCAGACCCTTTGCTATGAGACTCGAAATTGAGCTCAGGTGCAACCTGTTTCCATTGATCATCCTTGAGATGTTCCTACAACTTGATTGGAGTCCACCGGTGGTAAATTCAATTGATTGGACATGATTTGGAAAGGCACACACCTGTCTATATAAGGTCCCACAGTTGACAGTGCATGTCAGAGCAAAAACCAAGCCATGAGGTCTAAGGAATTGTCCGTAGAGCTCCGAGACAGGATTGTGTCAAGGCACAGATCTGCAGCATTGAAGGTCCCCAAGAACACAGTGGCCTCCATAATTCTTAAATGGAAGAAGTTTGGAACCACCAAGACTCTTCCTAGAACTGGCCGGCCGGCCAAACTGAGCAATCGGGGGAGAAGGGCCTTGGTCAGGGAGGTGACCAAGAACCCGATGGTCACTCTGACAGAGCTCCAGAGTTCCTCTGTGGAGATGGGAGAACCCTCCAGAAGGACAACCGTCTCTGCAGCACACCACCAATCAGGCCTTTATGGTAGAGTGGCCAGACGGAAGCCACTCCTCAGTAAAAGGCCCATGATAGCCCGCTTGGAGTTTACCAAAACGCCCCTAAAGGACTCTCAGACCATGAGAAACAAGATTCTATGGTCTGATGAAACCAAGATTGAACTCTTTGGCCTGAATGCCAAGTGTCACATCTGTAGGAAACCAGGCACCGCTCATCACATAGCCAATACCATCCCTACGGTGAAGCATGGTGGTGGCATCATCATGCTGTGGGGATGTTTTTCAGCGGCAGGGACTGGAAGACACCTACAGGATCGAGGGAAAGAGGAACGGAGCAAAGTACAGAGAGATCCTTGATGAAAATCTGCTCCAGAGCGCTCAGGACTTCAGACTGGGGCAAAGGTTCACCTTCCAACAGGTCAACGACCCTAAGCACACAGCCAAGACGACGCAGGAGTGGCTTCGGGACAAGTCTCTGAATGTCCTTGAGTGGCCCAGCCAGAGCCCGGACTTGAACACGATCAAACATCTCTTGAGAGACCTGAACATAGCTGTGCAGCGACGCTCCCCATCCAACCTGACAGAGCGGCAGAGAAGAATGTGAGAAAGTCCCAAAATACAGGTGTGCCAAGCTTGTTGTGTCATACCAAAGAAGACTCAAGGCTGTAATCGCTGCCAAAGATGCTTCAATAAAGTACTGAGTAAAGGGTATAAATACTTATTTCCATTTTTAATAAATTATCAAAAATGTCTAAAAAACGGTTTTTGCTTTGTCGTTATGGGGTAGTGTGTAGATTGATGAAAAAAATTATTTCATCCATTTTAGAATAAGGCTGTAACGTAACAAAATGTGGGAAAAGTGAAGGGGTCTGAATACTTTCCGAATGCACTGTATAGACACCTGTGTTTTAATAAAATCAACTATATATGCATTGAGCTTGTCTGATGCTTTAAGCTCACTATTTGATGAAATAAGACACAAATGACTCAAGAGGGAGCCAGAGATCAAGATAACCAGAATAAAAAAAACTTTACCTGCCCCAACCATCCTTCTCCCGCTCCTACTGGCTTTTTCAGATTCTGCCGTTACTCTCTTGAAGTTGCCAGTAATATGCTACACGAGGAGGTCTCATATGGAATGCCAATTTATCTTACCATTTCTACAAATCAGCGTGCCAGTTATGGTTTTCATCTGCACATTTCCGTGGAACATTTTCATTTAATATATAATAACAACTTTGTATCTCAAAATCAATGACATGTGGTTAATAACAATTATATCCAAATCTAAATGAAAATGATCAACCTAAAAAGTAACTTGTATTGCAATTCCCAACTATGTAAAAATAGCCTATAAAGCCAACAAATAAAAACATTGCAGCCTGCAGGTAGAAAATATCCTGATAAAAACAAATATCCTATAAATCACATTGGCTACACATGGCCTGTCTGCAACGAACTTGAAACATTGTATCAATTATTAACTTGGGCCCGGCCTGAAGCTCCTTGCCACATTGTATAAAATATTCTGGGCCCTCAGTTTCCTGCACCAGTGAGCTTGGGACAGACACAGCTGTAGGCCATTTGTGCAAGGGATAAGAAGTAATCAGGTACGCCTGTTTTAAGACTTTTCCACTGGATCAGAGCATTACATTTTTCCCTTTCAGCGTGAGTGGTTATCGAAAGGGAGAGAGCTGGAAAGATTTTTCAAATACATTGAGGAATTACTGTCATTCTCAATGGATGTAAAAACAGACATTGTTTGCTTGCTGTTTGAGGTGAAGAAAACATTACTTTGAGAAGCTCCACAGCTCATTAGCACATTTATACGCCTACATTTACTCGCAGGCCAGGTAGCCTATAGGCCTACTTCTATGCGTAAATCAGATGCGCGCCCTTACTCAACATTGACAGGAGCACTCCAAACAAAAGACAATGACTAAATTGACAAAACTTGTAAATGGAATGAAATAAACCAAAACTTGTTTCTCACAAGTGTAGCATAGGTTGTGTGCTCTGCAAACAACCTGTCCACTCCGACAATGAGAACGGTAAGAGACTGGAATAGTAATATATTGAATGCATTAACAGCCATTACCGTAACCAAACAAACATTGTAGATTAGAAATGATAGGAATTAACGGTAAATGTACTACTGGTGATATATGTAATGGGGAATTGATAGACACTAACAATCAAACGCAAACAATTCACACAATGAAGTTATGTAACAATGAATGTGCACAAATTGGCGGGAGAGAGCGCATTCTGGAGAGAAACGTGCATTGTGTATCCACACTCCCCTTTTTCTTGGACTGTGCCATCCCTGTGGCCTCCGCAAAGGATTAGTCTCGGCCTCCGCAATGGATTAGTTCGCTGAGATGGGCGCGAATAAGACAGGTGTCTCGTGAGCCATAAAATACATATATATATATATATATATATATATATATATATATATATATATATATATATATATATATATATATATTTGCTACTGCTCAACAAAAAAAATAATCTTAGTCGACCAAACAATCGACCAGTCGAATAACTGGGGTCAGCCTTAAACCGTGTCATGCTCCTAGTTCCACCCGAATTACATCCTTTCAAGGTCTGACATTCATTAATTGCCAACGTAATTACAAGGATATCAATGCATTGGGCACAATACGATAAATACTGCGGTAGTTTCATTGACCTTCTAGATGACAACATGGTTTCATTAGCTAAATAAATCACATTGCACACATTGACAGCCAGCAAAGCCTGCTGAGATTTCTGCAATGGTAACAGTAAGCCAACAATACCACAGGTGGATAATCTGATATCAGTGTAAAAAGAGAACATAAATGCAGGATGGTTAGAGAGGATCAGGCAGGGACTGGAGCAGGTGATCTTCTGTCCCTGGGGCACAATAGGCGGGAAATCAATGTCTCTGACTTTCAGCCACAAATAGAGGACAACAACAAAAGGAAACATTCTTAATGGCTCTAATAAGTGGTCATTCAGCAGCTGGCTGAGGCTGTGATTGTTAAGCCATCAGTAGAGGCCAGTGGGCTGTTAACTTCATTACTCATTCATAGAGGAAAAATCTCTCACTTCCTTGACACTTAGCTCGATTGGGCATCCATCCAGCCCCCAGACATAGGCAGACTCAGTTTTTTTACTCTTGTGCCTGCCTTGTGCCATCCCCTATCGCCTGTTACATGTGAAGGAAAACGCTTACCTGGTCCAGACAGGTGTAATTACAGTATATTGTTATACTCCTTTGAAATACTGTATCTTGTTGACAGATGGCAGTCTGCCGCAGTCATAAAGACAGTAGGAATAACCTATACTTTTCCTCTCCTCCCTACCACGCCACTCATGTGTGTCACAGAGCCAAAGAGCCCAGTAAACTGCAGCACATACCACACAGACAACTGTGTACCTCACAGGCCTGTTCTTTGTGATAGCTAGCTAGCTAAGTTAACATGTCCTTAGCTGCCCAAGTAAAATGAGCAGGTGTACTAGCTAGTAGCTAGCTACGCACTAGCTAGTTATAATTTTTCTTTTAGGTTGTGTGAGTTAGCTGTCAAGGGGCCACTACTGTGGATGCTAGCTATTAAAGGGTGAGTACTGTAGCTAGCTAAATATAGCTAATGCTATTTGATAAACGTTTTATGTTTGTAGCTGTCTAGTAACAGTCCTATGAAGATAGATATGTGTGCTTGGCTAGTGTTCTGTTATAGCTAGCTAGTTACCTAGCTAAATAATGTGTGTTAGCTTGGCAAACATTAGCATGTAACTGACGTTACTATATAGACGAGAAGGCGGGAAGAGTTTCTGCTACTTGCCATTTAAGGTAAAGTCTCCCTCTTTACTTTTTGTTGTTAAAAATGTTAGTATCACAAACATAACTGTTTTAGTAGGGCATGTCAT